GTATGGTGCACACCTGTAGCGGGAGAATCACTTGAGCCTGAGAGGTCAAGGCTGCAATGAGCTGTGATTGTGCCACTGCACTCCAACCTGTGCGACAGAGTGAATCTTGTTAAAAAGAAAAAAAAAAGAAAGAAAAAAAAAGAAAAGGAAAGAAAGAAAGAAAAAAAAAAAGAAAAGAAAGAGAAAGAAAAGGAAAACCAGAAGGATATAGTTTGGAATGTTAATAGTACTTATCCCTAGGTGATAGACTATGGGGGATTTGTTTGCTTGTTTATTTTTCTGCATTTTCTAAATTGTCTACAGTGGGCCCTTTTATAGTTAGAAAATAAATGTTTTTAAAAATTTGAAAGGTTTGAAAACCAGCAAATAGAAAAAGATCCCTTAATGGGATGTAACATTTTCCTCTGAAGAGGCCACTGAAATGTGGATGTGTAGTAAGTCAGGCCTGCAGGGAGCTGTGGCTATAGGTGGCTTCAGCTGGAGTCATCCATGGCTCTGGCTGGGACCTTGGTGGATTCCAGGACTCCTGGGTTCTTTCCTTACTTCTTGCCCAGCTGGATTCACTCCTGCTTGCGAAAAGCTGACAAGAACAAGGACAACAAGATGAGCTTCAAGGAGCTGCAGAACTTCCTGAAGGAGCTCAACATCCAGGTGGACGACAGCTATGCCCGGAAGATCTTCCGGGTGAGGCAGGAAGTGGGGGCTGGGGCTGCCTGTCCATGGGGCCCTTGACCCCGGCCCAAGGCCTGCTCTGAGCCCACCTGGCTGTCCTGGCTCTGTAGGAGTGTGACCGCTCCCAGACAGACTCCCTGGAGGACGAGGAGATTGAGGCCTTCTACAAGATGCTGACCCAGCGGGTGGAGATCGACCGCACCTTCGCTGAGGCCGCGGGCTCAGGGGAGACTCTGTCGGTGGATCAGTTAGTGACGTTCCTGCAGCACCAGCAGCGGGAGGAGGCGGCAGGGCCTGCGCTGGCCCTCTCCCTCATTGAGCGCTACGAGCCCAGCGAGACTGGTGAGAGCCTGACCAGGGCCTGCCACCTGCAGTTGCAGTGCTGCACTGGGTCGGGAGACCCCTGGGGAGACTGCAGCCAGAAAGATGGGAGCCAGAGGGAAGGGGCTGCCTCAGCCAGCCCCGCGCCTCTCCTCAGCACTTTCCAGTCCCATGAAAGCCTGCAGATGAGAGACAGGGCTCCGGCATCCCTGCCCTTCCCTGGTCCTGTTTCCCTCTTAGCACTTCCTTCAGGGGGCTTTGAGAACCTCTTCAAGAAACCAGAGAGATGGCTGAAAAGCAGATGCTACTCCTGCGTCCTTTTTTGTGCTCATTCTGGGCCAGCTTTGAGATGTGATAGAGCAGAGAAGCTGTGGCCCTGCTCTGGAGGGGGCTCCAGTCTGGGGGTACAGAGAACGGGGAGATGACACCCTGTCCTCAGGAGTCTTAGAGTGTGCAGACAGGGGAGGAGGAAGAGACAGGGCCCCACTCTGGAGTAGCCACAGTCTGGTCGAGAGCCTCAGACTTATCCTAATTCCAAGAGCTCCGGAAGACTGGCTCAGGACAGGCAGGCAAGCGGGTTCAGAGGGCTCCTCTGTCCAGATGGGTGGGCAGCTGGAGGCTGACTCTGACTGGCAGTGGCCTCCTCCCTCCCAGCCAAGGCGCAGCGGCAGATGACCAAGGACGGCTTCCTCATGTACTTACTGTCAGCTGACGGCAGTGCCTTCAGCCTGGCACACCGCCACGTCTACCAGGATATGGGCCAGCCGCTTAGCCACTACCTGGTGTCCTCTTCGCACAACACCTACCTGCTGGAGGACCAGCTCGCCGGGCCCAGCAGCACTGAGGCTTATATCCGGTGCTGTCCAGGGAAGCCTTGGGGCGGGAGTCTGGGTGGGACCCAGGACGGGACTTGGAGGGTCCTAGCTGCCACCCTCCCCTCAGGGCACTGTGCAAAGGCTGCCGCTGCCTAGAGCTCGACTGCTGGGACGGACCCAACCAGGAACCAATCATCTACCACGGCTATACTTTCACTTCCAAGATCCTCTTCTGCGATGTGCTCAGGGCCATCCGGGACTACGCCTTCAAGGTGGGCGTGGCCCTGGCAGGCGAGGAGTGGGATGCTAGGGGTGGCCCACCACTCCTAATGTGCCCTTGGGCCTCCAGGCATCCCCCTACCCCGTCATCCTGTCCCTGGAGAACCACTGCACCCTGGAGCAGCAGCGCGTGATGGCGCGGCACCTGCAAGCCATCCTGGGCCCCATGCTGTTGAACCGGCAGCTGGATGGGGTCACCAACAGCCTGCCCTCCCCTGAGGTGTGTGGTGGGGATGTGGGATCCCAGGGGGAGGGTGGGGAGCCTGGCCCAGGGAGGCTAGGTGTGTCTTGACCAGTTGCCCCTCCACCCCAGCAACTGAAGGGGAAGATCCTGCTGAAGGGGAAGAAGCTCGGGGGGCTCCTGCCTCCTGGAGGGGAGGGTGGCCCTGAGGCCACTGTGGTGTCAGACGAAGATGAGGCTGCTGAGATGGAGGATGAGGCAGTGAGGAGCCGCGTGCAGCACAAGCCCAAGGTTTGAGGGGGAGCTGTGGGGTGGGGCAGCCCGGGCCTTCCCCATCCCCTCAACTCTGGGAGGTCTGCCTTGTCTCAGTTCTCTGTGGCTGCCACTCAGACCCTCTGCCCCGCTCTCTCTGTCTGTCTCCTTCTATCTCTCTGTGCCTGGGTTTCTGGCTTTCTCAGTGCCTACCCTGCCCCAACCACTGAATCTAACCCGGGCCTTCCCGTGGCCCCCAGGAGGACAAGCTCAGGCTAGCACAGGAGCTCTCTGACATGGTCATTTACTGCAAGAGCGTCCACTTTGGGGGCTTCTCCAGTCCTGGTACCCCTGGACAGGCCTTCTATGAGATGGCGTCCTTCTCTGAGAACCGTGCCCTTCGACTGCTCCAGGAATCAGGTGAGGCCTGGCTCCCCACTACTGCTCTGCTGTGTTACAGAGAGAACTGGCAGGGCAGTGCTCGGGCCTCACCAGGAGGCCTCCACTGCGACTGAATCACACCTCCCCTCAGGAAACGGCTTTGTCCGCCACAACGTGGGGCACCTGAGCAGAATCTACCCGGCTGGATGGAGAACAGACTCCTCCAACTACAGCCCCGTGGAGATGTGGAACGGGGGCTGCCAGATCGGTATGGGCTGGCTGGGGCTGGAGGAGGCCTGGAGGAGGGTTTCAGTCCCAAGGTGGGCGGCCTAGAGCTCGAAGGCCATGCAGTGGAGCTCTGAGGACCCAAGCAGGGTCAAATGCAGGGGCTTGTGGAGCTGGTAATATCCGTCTGGAAATATCTGCCCACCAGCACATCCCAGTGTCTGAAACCTCATCAGCACACTAGCCCTTTGATTTCTGACATGAGGAATGGAAGGCGTGGTTAGCGTTGTAGGTCACTGAGGGTGGCAGGTGGGCAGCAGGCATTGGAGTGATGCTGTGCCCTGATAACTCACCATGTGACCCTAGGCCTCAGTGTGCCCTGAGCAGGCTGTGCTCTAGGGCCCCAGGGCCAACCCACAACCCTCTGTCCTGCCTGTAGTGGCCCTGAACTTCCAGACACCTGGGCCAGAGATGGACGTGTACCAGGGCCGCTTCCAGGACAACGGGGCCTGTGGGTACGTGCTGAAGCCCGCCTTCCTGCGAGACCCCAACGCCACCTTTAACCCCCGCGCCCTGGCTCAGGGGCCCTGGTGGGCACGGAAGCGGCTCAACATCAGGGTACGCCGGACCCAGGAGGGATAGGTGCCGATGGGCCTCCCTTCCCCACTATCACTCCTGAACTGTCCATTGTCCCCTGCCTTTCCTCAGGTCATTTCAGGGCAGCAGCTGCCAAAAGTCAACAAGAATAAGAATTCAATTGTGGACCCCAAGGTAACAGTGGAGATCCATGGCGTGAGCCGGGACATGGCCAGCCGCCAGACTGCTGTCATCACCAACAACGGTAGGTGCTGGGCCGGGCTGGGCTACTAGGCTGGTGTCCATGCTGTTGATATGGTGCCTGTCCCCCTAGGTTTCAACCCATGGTGGGACACGGAGTTTGCGTTTGAGGTAGTTGTGCCTGACCTTGCCCTCGTCCGCTTCTTGGTGGAAGATTATGATGCCTCCTCCAAGAACGACTTCATTGGCCAGAGTACCATCCCCTTGAATAGCCTCAAACAAGGTGAGTGTCAAGAGAAGGGGACGGCCAGGTTGGCGGGAAACAGGGCCCTGGTATCTCTTGGGCTGGGGCTGGCTGTCCCTTGAAGCATCCCCTGAGTGACCAAAACTCTCTCTGTGTTCCTTCCTGCCTGTCCACCCACCAGGATACCGCCATGTCCACCTCTTGTCTAAGAATGGGGACCAGCATCCATCAGCCACCCTCTTTGTGAAGATCTCCCTCCAGGACTAGGCTGGAGGAAGCCAGGAGGGTCCCCCCTGAGTGGGCTGGGCCCTCTGTCCACACGTGGGGACGGGGCTGGTGTGGCTGCTCCCAGCCTCTTGCTCAGAGGTAGGCCCCCAAACTGCCTTCAGCTCTAACATAGTGTCTGCTGCTGCCTCCCTGGGGACCAGGAGCTAGCCCAGTCCCTGGAGCTGTCCTTCATTCCGTTAGGAACAACACTGCAGCCCTCTCCACCCTCTGGCTGGCCGGTGGTCAAGGGTTTTTATAAAAATCACGATAAGATTAAGCCTTGTGGTCTCTTTACCTGGATGCCAGAAAAATCCCCTGTGAAGCGTGTGTGTGTATGTGTGTGTGTGTGTGTGTGTGTGTGTGTGTGTGTCCCCATGTCCTAGAGTGCTGGAGCCTCAGCACCTCACTCTCTACCTTCCTTGCACACAGTTGAGTAGGGCGGGGGGTATCTGCAGAGACCAATGAGAAATAAACCCCTCTGTGGGGTGGCACTGAAAGCTCATACTCGCCAGCCCCGGAGGCCCCTTCCTCTGAGAGGTGGACCTGCTGAGTGGCCCGGGCTTGAAAGCATGCATACCACACCTTGTATGGACTGCCTGCTTTTACTGACAAGCAGAGGATGACCAGAAGCCTCTGAGGGGAGTGGAAGCAGGGCCTCCCCAGCATTGTAGGTATGTTGGGGTTGGAGGGGGTAGGGGCAGTCGAGAGGGCTTGGGGTCAGAAGAAGCCCAGCTGCTTTTTCTCCTGCTGCTGCCTCCACGTGGCCATGCTGTAGAATTCCTCCTTGGATTTCCCAAAGATATCTTGGAAGTCAGAGTCTGAGAGATAGAACTGGGCAGGGGAGAGAGGGGGAGGTACAGGGGAGGGTGTCATCTGAGCCCAGAATCCTGCCCCACTCAGGAGCGTCATCCAGGGCTTAGGACTCCCAGACATCTGTCTGCCCACCACCCCAACTAGAAGACACATCTCCCGGGGCAGCTGCCCACTGCACGCCACCAGTGGATCCTGCCTCGGGCTCCTCCAGCTCAGTGTCAGATGCACTGGTGCTGGGGCAGTGAGTGGCGGGGGTCTTGGGCGCCCACCTCCCTGCGGGCAGGGTCCACGCCCTCTGGCAGGTCCTCAGCGGCCTGGTGCATCAGTTGTTCCCGGCGCAGGCCCCCGTTGATTGTGGCGCTGGTGCTGCTGACAGAGCTGCTGGTTCTGGTGCCACCCGATTTGGGGCCCCGCATCAGCTCATTCTCTGAGCTGTCCTGGGAGCCCTTGAGGGCCTGCAGGGCCATGGCACCTGCCCTGCCATTGCCTGGCCATCTGGATAGCCGGAAGTTGTTGACTTCCTGTCCAGAGAGGAGCCTCAGGCTGGGGAAGATGGGGAATCGGTAGCCCACAGGGAGGCTGCACTGAACCCACAGGCCTCTTGCCTCCAACTGCAGCCCCTCCCACCTACCAGGGCCTGGCACTTCCTCTGCCCATCAGGACCATGCGGTCAGAGCCCAGGTCACTGTGGGGAAGGCTAGGGGCCCCAGGACTCACTGCTGTTATCTCAGAGATGGTTGATGCTGCTGCCGGGCTGCCCTCCACCACTTCCGTGTCAGACAGGTGGCTCTAGAGCAAGAATAGGGGCAAGTATCAGGGCCAGGGCAGGAGGAGGGGGCACCAGTGGGAGTCAGGAGGGGCCTGAGGACAAGACCAGGTCTCATGCACACACTGACAATCCCCAGCCAGGGCAGTGCCTCCTCATTCCATTGGCCCAGGTCAGGCTCCTCTCCCCCCAAATTAGGGTGGGGCTGGGGGTTTCAGGCCTCACTCACGGTCCACTTGTAGGGGTCCCAAGTGAAGAACCATCCAGTGAAGGTGGGAGGCTCATGGCCCTGCTTGACCAGCACGATGGGTGTGGCCAGGCTCCTCCCTGCTGGGTGGGTCTTCAGGTACTCCTGGCCCCAGGCCACTGCCTCCTTCCACTCACTTGCAGCTTCCCCAAGCCACAGGAAGATCTGGGCCACAGAGGGGGCCTGGCCTTGGGCAGGTGGAAGGGCTGCCCAGAGCGGACCCCTTCCTGTCCACTCCCTGTCCATCAGTTGTCCCAGACAGGACCCCACATACAGATCCCTGGCCAGGCAGACATATCCAGCAAGCGGCCATACCCACACACCCGTGAACACACGAGGTCACAGGAATGCATGCATGCACACATATTCAACCCACACGCCTTTTTTTTCTTGCATGGTTTACCTGGAGATCAATCCACAAATACTTACTGAGCACCTACTGTGTGCCGGGCATTTGTCTAGGCTCTGGGGAGTCAACAATGAAAGAAAATGGACAAAAATCCCTGCTCTTATAGAGCTTTCATGAGAGAGCAAGTCACATGTATGTCTGGAGGAAAAGTGTCCTAACCAGAAGAAACAACCAGTGTAAAAGCCCCGAGGTGGCCGTGTGCCCAGCATGTTCAGGGAACACAAGGAGGCCATTGTGGCTGCAGCAGAAGCAGTGGGGGGGGTGCGGGGGGAAATTGGGTCAAAGAGTTGGGGCTGGCCAGGTCACGTAGGGCTGTGGTAAGAGCTCTAGGTTTGTTCTGAGTGAGATGGGAGCACACAGCTTCATCACCAATTCAAACAGTGCTGCAGACATGGCCCCACAGAGACACAGAGAACACACATTATGGCAGCTTACACAGTCACACAGTCATCCATCGCCACACAGCCAGACAGCAAACCATAGCCACACAGTCATCCACTGTTGTCAGACACAGCTGCACGTAAACACAACAGCACTTGTTAACACAGCCACGCACACCCAGCCAGTTACACCACTGTGCACAGAAACACAGACCCACAAACACACCCATCCATCACTCGCCCACAGCCAGTCAGTCTCTCTCACAGACGCATTTTCACCAGTTGCCACTGGTCTGGTCAGTTCTAGCATCATGTGACCTCACAGTCACTAACAAAGTGTCACACACAGGTGCACGAAGGCAAACGCTCACACCAAGCCACACACATGAATGATGCGACTGGGTGTTCCACTCACAGTCACTCATGCAGCACTGACACATGCTCGGCCGCAGGTACTGTCGCTGGAGCCACACACAGTATCATAAGGCACACACAGCTGCACACAACTGCAAACATGGTCTCAGTTACCCCTGAGTTCCAACACACTCCTAGTCTCCCAGAGTCTCAGTGCTGCCACCTGGTGACACACACTCATCCATGGTCTCATATGCACCGCAATGCAGTTGCTCAGTGACAAGGTCACACAGACTCACCCACAACCCTATGTACAGAGTCAGATGGCTAGATACACACACACCCAGTTACACAAACAGACACACTCCCGTTCACAGCCCCACCAGGCAGGGGTGGCCACTTTACCTCCTGCCAGGTGTCCAGTAACATGATGTCATACTTGTCCAGGTCCTCCTGGCTGAAGAACACCACTTCTGCCAGGACCAGGCAGCCCATCTGGCTGGAGCACTCAAACAGTCGTGGCTGGAATCTGGGGACCTCCTCAGGGAGCCTGGCCAGCACGGACAGCAAGGCTGTGAGCCACGCAGAGAGGCACCCCAGCCCATGGCACAAGTGCCCCATCCCAGGGGCTGGGAAGCCACTTCTCAGGAGTGGGAGCCCTGGGCCCTCCTCTGAGCCCCATGGTCCGCTCCCCGAGCACTCTGCTCTGCTCTGGGTGCAGGATCCCTCTCTGCTCATGGAGAAAGCTCTCGCCCCACCCAGCTGTGATGCAAGGTGTCCCATGAATTCCCCTAGGAGAGGGCTGCAGGGCAAGAGGAGGGCCTGAGCTGGAGTCTCGCCCTCCCTGGGATGGGAGGAGCTCCTCAGCCCATCCCTGGCAGAGAGTAGGTCTCCAGCCCAAAGTAGGTCTCCAGCCCAAAAGGAGGGGAAGCCAGGCTGGGAGAAGGAGGCGGGAGTACTGAGCTCAGGAGAATTGCGGGGAGTGCAGCACATAAACCAAGCCCCACAGGCAGACCAAGAGTGACCAGGACTCAGCTCCCTCCTCCCCTTGAGGCCTCACTCCTACCTGCCACACAAACCCTGTCCATTTACACACCACACACACAACACCCAGAATACACCTGTTCTTGCACATCCACACGCACTGTATACCGATACATCATATGACACTGTATACACACACACTGGGCACCGTGACCCCTGAGGACTGTAGGGTGCTTTGTCCCCTGACCCAGGACCAGGACAATGCAGGGAGGGGATTCTGCCAGCAGAGAGCGCCACTGCCCCCACCCTCCCTAGCATCTTCGAGACCCAAGTTACCCAGGCCTGGGAGTGAAGGGCGGGCTGTGCTCGTGGGAGTCTCTGTGAGTGGGAAGCTGAGAGTCCCCAGTTCTAGTCTTGTCTCTCCAGCTCTCTGTGTGAACCCCAGTCACCCACCCTCCTCTCTGGGCCTCAATTCCTCCTCTGCGTAAGAACACTCTCCTCCCAACCCTGTTACCTTTTCTTGCTGGGGTAGGGGGCCCGGCCTCCCAGGGCCTCCCAGAAGTGGGGAGGCTCCTGACCCTCCAGCACCGTTTCCTCGCTCTTCTTGGAAATGACAGTGACCACCACCCGTGCCATCTCACGTTGATCACCATTACACCCCTAGCAGGCAAAGAGATGGCTCAGGCCCTGTACCAGGAAGGGCCTTCACCTCCAGCCCCATATGCCATTCACGGGGTGTATGGGGTGGGGCTGGGCCCAGGTCACAGGAGGCCTAAGCTGACGGCAGGGCACCGGTGAACAAGGCATCTTCCTCACCCTCCAGGCCTGTGTCCCCAGCTGATCTGGATCACAGGGTCTGGGACCCTCACAAGGTCCAGAGCAGGGGATGGGAGGCTCCCAGGCTTAGAGGGTCAGTCATAGTTTATGCTGAAAATTAGAGAAAACTCCAGCAAACTGGCACAGGCCCCTCCTTTTCCCAAGAGACCTGGGAAGGGACATGCCCTGTGCTCCAGGCAGTAAGGAGGCGGCGGCCTGGGCCTGGCTCTGACCTGTAGACTCTCAGGTCCACCTGTAACTTTGTAACTTTCCCCAAGTTCCAGAGGGGACACTGTGGCTTCTTCCCCTCCCCATTCCCCCCATCAGCCTATCTGAGGCTGGACTCAAAGTCTGCATCCCCTATGGAAAGGACCCACCCCCAGCCTGGCACCACTACCTCTGGGCATGAGTCAAGTGGTCAGTGCTGTGGGTACCTTCCCAAACCAGAGGTAGCAGACACCGGCTGTGACCAGCAAGAAGATGTCATTGGAGTTGAGGGACGAGGCACGGGCTGGCACCTCCATGGTCTTGGTGTTTTGGCTGTCAGTGCCTTGCACATGGAAAAGCCTCGTGGTGGACGCTGACTGCCCCTTTCCATGGTGCCCAGCTCTCTCCTACAGGAGAACAAGGCCTCAGGCTGGGCAAGGGCTCCCGGGGGCGCCTTCCTGTCCCAGTGTGGGACATATTACCTCAGAGCTCAGGGACCCTTGCTTGAAACTACCACGGCCCTCACTGGTGATTTCACATGAGGAGTATAGGACGCTCTAAGCGTGGAGTGCAGGAATGCCATCAGTCTGGGATAGGGACAGACCCTTTCTAAATGAACCTTCCCCCCCATCTCTGAGTGGTAGGGGCATGGGTGCTCAGGCCTTGGAGGTGGAAAGTGGGGACCAGGTTTGCCAGTGTGCGGCCCCAGGCAAGCCTCTGGCTCCCTTTCAACTCAAATTCCTCATCTGGCTCTGGGACTGGGGAGGGTAAGTCAGGCAGGGGCTAACCTTGGAGCTCCTGGGCCTTAGACAAGCTCTGGGAAACTAGGGGATGAGAAGCAGGCCCCAGGCCCAAAGAGAAAGTGCTTAGAAGTGTGTGTGGGGGCCATGGCCCACGCAGAACTGGGCAGGCTGTGGCCAGAGGGGCAAGGTGAGACCTACCTGGAAGATCACCAACTGGCCCTGGAAGATGGCGAGGAAGTGGGGGGGCTCGCTGCCCATGGTCACATGCTCCTGCACTAGGGCGCCACCATACATGACGTCCAGCTCCTCAGCATTGCTGTTCAGGGCCTTGATCTCATCTGCAGTGGCCTGGCGGCCCTGCAGGTAGGGGCAGTGAGTGAGGGCCTGGCTCAGCTCTCACATCTCACTCCCAGAGCCCAGCCCTTGGGCTTTAAGGTGAGTGCTGCCTCCCTCAGGCTGGCTCACCTGCCATAGGTACAGGATGTACTGGACACGGCCCAGCCTCTGGTACGTGTAGAGCACAAGGTAGCAGTTGCCTGCATACAACTGTCCATGACGCTTGGGGTCCACGGGCTGCCTGTGTAAGTCCTCCATGCACCACACCTGGGGAATAAGGGACCGATGGGCACAGATGGCTGTTCTTCCTGAACCAGCCCACCCATCCTGCACCCAACGGGAAAGCTCTCCCCAGCCTCCGAGGCCTTCCTCATCCACGAAGGCCAGGGGCCCACCCTCAGCTCCAGGCCCATTCCGGGCTTTGTGCTGGGCTTGAACAAGGATCTGCAGGCGACCCTTTCCTCACGGACCTCTGAAACCCACCACACTTGGGAGATGGACCCAATCCCAGCTACGTGCCCAGCCCTAGTCCCAACCCCACCAGCCACAGCCCTGGTTAGGGGCAGTTCGGTCCCCTCCCAGCTGCTTGCTGCTCAGGCCAGGGCAACAGAAGCCAGGCGGAAAGGGAAGCCTTGGAGCTCTTGAATGAATTCCCTTTTTTCAAGTGTCATTTAGAAAACACAAAGCCTGTTCAAAGACTGAAGGGCAAACACTGTCTCACATCTGTTAGTGTAGTTTCTTCTTCCTGTGGGTGGCAGAGCCTGGAACCAGGCAGACTCTGGTCAAATCCCAGATAGGCCCTGTGTTAGCAGTGACATCGTTCTAAGCTTCAGGCCTTTCCCACCTGTATATTGGGGACGATGACACCTCCCTTACCTCACCTCTGCATGGCAGGAGACAAGGCCTGGGTCTCCTTTCCCACACTGACCCTGACAGTTGTCCCTGGGAAGCTGACCTCCAGCCCAGAGCAACCAGAGCCCTGTCTTTTACAAAAGGGGCTGACCTGACCACAGGCCACTTGGCACTTACCGGGCAGCCAGGACCCCTGGCTCAGGCCCTCTCTCTGCCTGCCTGTCCACTGTCTGCCAGGAGGGATCCCCTCCCTGACTTTGTGCTTGGCGCCTGAATTCCGGAGCTCTCTTTCCCTCCGTCCCTCGCCCTTCCCTCTGCTTTCCTGTCTCCCGCTCCCACTATCTGGCTCTCTGTCTCTCTCTGTGTATCCCATCTATTCCTGACCCCCCTTCTCTTCTCCCTGTACCCCATCTCTCCCTGCTCTTCCTCCATCCCACCTCCTCCTCCCTTCCCTCTGTCTCCTCCTCATCCCCTGTCCTTCCCAGTCTTTTTTTCTCTGTCTCTCATTGCGCTCCTTCCCTGTCTTCCTCTTTCCCTGTCTCCCCCTTCTTCCCCCTTGCCCCATCTTCTCTCAGTCTCTTCCCACTCATCACTTCTGTCCATCCATATTAGGGCAAAGGAAGAAGAAATCTTGGTTTTCTCTGACCTCCACCTACCTCGAGAACTAGGATCCCTTGCATAGGCCCAGCAGTTCCGTTCCCACAGTTCCACAGGATCCCCACATCAGCTTTGGGGCCAGATGGGACCACAGTTTCTGACTCCATTTTATTTAAAAACTAGGGCCTAAAAAATTCAGGGCTCTGCCTAGGGGGTCAGCCAGTAAGTCAAGATACAACCCCACACTATACACAGCCTGGAAGTGGCCCTCAACCCCTGTGTCTCGCAGGACACTGGACTGAGACCAGATGAGTGGTTGACAGTGTATGGCTATGAGCTGGGGTTGAGTGTGTGGGGCTATGATTATGTGTGATCGTGTGTCTGTGTTAGTGTGTCTCTGTGGATTGATGGTTGTGTGTGACTGTGGTCATGTCTGATGCAGAGATTTTGCAGCTTCATATTTGCAGTTGTGTACTTGGCTGTGACTATGTATGTGTGTATGTGTGTCTGTATAAGCATATGTTTGATTTTGTCCTACATGTGACTACAGGGCGAATTTAAGGGTCCAAGTGTTACTCTACTGTGTGTCTGTGTTATGTGAGTGCCTATGGCTGTATATGATTAGGTGTGACTATGTATGAACTTATGAACTTATGAACTGCCTGTTAGAAGAGTGTGTAAATGTACACGTGTCCCTTGGTGTCCCTGATTGTGTATGGATATGCACCTGGGTCACATCAGATAGCAGTCATACCGTTTACCTGTAGGCAAAGCTCACCCCTGTGTGCCCATCTTCCCCCAGCTAACCCAGTGCCCCTCACCTCCACCTTTCCAGAGCCGTCGTCCACCATCCTGAGCTGGGCCGCTAACTCAGGCTGGGTGTGCAGCTTGCCCACGTCCAGCTTTACATGAATCAATTTATCTGAAGGTGGGGCAGCAGGTGTCAGTGGCGCCCTCGGCCCCCCCCCCTCCCACACCATCCCCGCCCCGCCCACTCCTCAACCATCCCTCCGAGATTCCAGGTCCCGCCCGGTCCTCCGCCGCCCACGCCCCTTTCCTCGTCCTGAGAAGGTTCTGTTCCGCCCCGTGCAGACCAGGCCCCGCCCCCTCCGGCTCCGCCCCGCCCGCTCACCCATCCCGCCGAGTTGCCACTTACTCGGCCAGCGCCCCCGCGCCGTGCCGGCCGCCGCCCCCGCCAGCCCGCCGCCAGTCCGCCGCAGTCCCGGCCCCGCAGTCGCCCGCAGTCCCGCCGCCAGTCCCGCCCCGCCCGCTCACCCCTGCCGCCGAGCTTCTGGTTCCTGCTCCGCTTCTCAGACCAAGTCCGGAAGAGCTGCTTGAACGCGGCCGACTCGGCGCCGTCGTTCACCACCTCCACGTTGGTGTAGGTCGGGTAGCCCTTGGCCTGGATGAAACCCTGGGGCAGAAGGCACTGTCAGTCCTGCGACCCAAGAGTCCACTGCTCCACTCCCGCCCCTGGGGACCTACAGCTCTGGGACAGCCGAGCTCCAAGAAGCGTTAATTAACCGAGCTCATGACCCAATTAACGAACTGACTCTGTCACCACCAACTTCTCTGAGGTCCCTGAGGGCAGGCAGGGTCCCCTTAGTCCAGGCCTCGGGCAGGACAGGCCATATCAACCCTCATGGACCCCAGAAAGAGCCCCGTCTCCTCCCCAACCCCACCCTCAGAAAGCGCGGCCGCCTAGTCAGTAAGGCCCCACACCTGAAGGCAGGGCCGTGCCCCTTTTATACATGGTTTCTCAGTGGCCACCTGGTCTTCACTCTCAGGGCTCCCAAGGCAGGGCTACCTCCCCTTTAAGACTCCAGCATAGGATTTCCCAACTCAAACTCCAGGGGAGGGCTGATTCCTCCCTTAGACCCCGGGGCAGCGCTGTCTCCCCACTCAGACAGCAGGGCAGTGCTCTGTTCCTCTCAGACAGAGCCCGGGGGCTCACCACAGCCCGGCTGAAGGCAGCCTGTCTCTCCTGGACGCTAGACATGCGTCCCTGCCACACATAGATCTTGAAGCCACCCTGGTCCAGGATGTAGATGTCCTGGGAGCAAGGGTGGGGCTGGTCAGTAGGTGGTCCAGACTGGGCTGGGGTTGTGAGTGGGGAAGGATGCGAATAGCTGGGGCCAGGACTTCCTCACCTCCTCCTGCAGCAGGTCCTGGGTCAGTGGGGGGGTCGCCAACTCCACGACCACCAAGTCTTTGCCCTTCTCATAGACACTGGGGGAACAGGAACCCAGGAGTGACCAGCCCAGCCCCTCCCTGACCTGGCTCCACTCCAGCCCCTCTTAGGACCCCACCCCAGCCCCTCAGAGACAGAAGGCATGGGGGCTGGAGCCCTGAGTTGTAGTCTTGACTTTACCGCAGCCTTGCTGTGGAGCTTTAGGCAGCTCCCTGACCCTAGCAGGGCACCACAGTCCCCCTGTATGTACAACAGGTTTCTCAGCAAGGCAGTGCACACCATGGAAGAGTACAGGCTGGGCCCACGGTCCCTATGCCATGTCCCAGAAACCCAGCAGCCTTTGCTGGAGGGCTTTCTAGAGATGCCATGTTATTGTAGTAGTGATGGACACGGAGTCCTGGACTGTCCCATCCACCCCTGCCCACCCCAAGGGTACTTACTGGTACAGGCGAACACTGGCCTTCTGCAGCTGGTTGATATCCTTGCTGGGCGTGGCGGCACGCAGGCTGCCCACCCTGCGGCCCAGCACAGCTTCCATGATCTGCATGAGGTCCGGGGCTTTGGCCTCATCATCCACTACACCAATCTGTGCACGACCACCACGTTCCCTGTCCCGGAGGCTGTAGGTCAAGGCCAGCCCCTGCGGGAGAGAACCTGGCAGTCAGGGTGTCACCAGTGTGCCCCCTCACAGCACAGCTTTCTCCTGTCACTGCTCAGCTCCCAGAGGCTGGTGGGGAGAAGGGCTAGTGTCTCCTCATCCTGGCATCCAGGGGGACACCAACAGTGCAGGGTCTGAACTCAGCTTGTAACTCGTAGACGTTTCTTGGGTTGTAGCAGAGAGCCAAGCCCACCTCTTGGGGTGGCTGGAGGATGGGCACCTGGAGGACCATTCCCCCCCAAGCCCCATACTCCCCAGTTCCTTGGGCAGACACTGACCCGAGCCTTCTCAGAAATGCTGGTCTTGGGCCCATTCCACTGGATCATCATCTTGCCTAGGTCCAGCAGGAAGATGTCACCCTTATTAAAGCTGTTCCAGGAGAGCTCCACCTGCCAGAGCCAGGAGGAACAGGGAGGGAGACTGAGTGTCATACCACCAGCATCTGCTAGAGGGGAGCATAGCTGGGATGTGTCACGTGTGCATGAAGCTGTATGCAACTGGGTGTACTAGGCATGTGTGACTGTAGATAATGCTGCATTTCACAGGGTGTACACAACTTATGACACTTCTCACTCAGTGCATGTCTGTTGCTGTACATGTGTACATGTACACATGTATACAGGTGGGGTGTATCTGTTTATCTTTTGTGTGTGTGCATATACACACGTATGTATGTGGGGACATCACATGTGAAGAAGTGTGTGTGCTCATGGTGACAGTGTATATGTATGGATGAAGATAGTCTCCAAACGGACACACTTTTGAGAGTAAAAGGGAGTACTTTAGATAATTATGCCAGGATAATAGGAGAAACATGGGGCTTCATGGTGTCCCTGAATGACCAGGGATGTATGGTCACTGGGTCTGTGGGTGACATGCTGAGCCTATGTGGGATTGTCTGTGTGTCACAGGCTGCCTATGCAGACTCACTTGCATACCTCAAGGGTTACCATTCACACTGTAGATGTTGTACACCTGAATGTTCATTACACCAAATTCTGGCCAGATGGCAGCAAAATGTTTTGTTCTAACAAAACCAGTACTTTCCTGTAATTTCCTGACAGATGGAAGAAAGGGACACTGTGTTCTGATTTGCACAAGGGCACTAAATGGACCAGAGGAGCACCTGGGGATAACAGTGGGAGACAGTGTGTGTGCATATGGGTGACAATGATAACGTGTGTGAGAGAGTGTGAGGTTATGCACTCCCCAAGTTTTGCACCACCTCTCACTGTGTTGCTAACAAGGACCATTCACAGGTGCCATATCGTCTCCCCCATCTGCCCAAGTTTTTTTGATTTTAGAGACAGGGTCGGGTCTTTCTCTGTCACCCAAGCTGCTGGAGTACAGTGGTGTCATCATGAATCACTCCTGGGCTCAGGTGATCCTCCTGCCTTAGCCTCCCAAGTAGCTGTGCCCAGGTTCTCAATATGTCCATGAGACAGATGCAGAAACATAAGGTCCGGGGAGTAGAGACAGAAGTGGGGCTAGAAGCTTGGTGTTCTCTCCATTCTCCTCGTTCAAGACCATCTGAGAATGCTGACAGCTCCTTGTTCCCTACAGCCCCAGCCAATTTCCAACTTCCTTATACCTCAGTACACCCAGTCTGAGCCGAGTCCAGAGGTCAAGAGGCTCCCCTGGCAGCCTCACCTCAGTGGCAGACACGTGCTTCCTCCCTTTGATGTGCAGCAGTCGCTGGATGTTGAAAAAGTTGGTCTCCACATGCTTGAGGTCAGACGCTAGGCCTCCCTTCCTGTAGCTGTGGAGGGAATAGCAGGAGGGTATATACATTCTGTGTATGTGAGAACACAGTCTGCCATGTGCATGAATGATTGCAGATGTGAGCACATGCACATATGTGCCTGCCTCATACATGCACGGGAATCTGTGTGAACACATGCATGTATAGGTACATGGGTGCACACATAGGGCATGAGTATTCATTTCCATGTGTAGTGCACTTCCATGCATAATCATGTGGACACATGCATATATGTGTACATGTACATACATTTGGGGGCACAGTGTCTATTTGTTTATCCCTGTAAGTCTAGATGGTGAGTACATGAAAATGGGCAACAGTATATATGTGTGTAGGTGAACATGGATATTCACACATGTCCATCTATAGGTGGACTTACATGGGGGTGGTGTTTCTGCATCTGTGCATATGCTTGTGTGCATGTGTTCATGTATATGCTATATGCATATATAGGTTCAACTGTATGAAATGGAAATGATCAAATAGCAGCAATTTCCTATACTGCCAAATATATTGCAAATGTTAATTTAAAACACCTGTGAAGCAATTTACAGAGAAAGACATATTCCCACCAGCACAGTAATATAAAAGCAAACTCAAAACACCATTGGTGTCTGCTCCTAGGTATATACCAAGGGAAATGAAAACATTTGTCCACACAAAAACTTGTATACAAATGTTCATAGAAACAGATTCATAGCAGCCAAAAAGTGGAAACAACCCAAATGTCCATTAAGTGATGAATAGATAAATAAAATGTAGTATATTCATAAAATACAATATTACTTGGTAATAAAAAGAAGTAATAACACATGCTAAAACATGGATAAACCTTGAAAACAGTGTGTTAAGCAAAAACAGTCCGTCAGGGAAGACCACTTGTTGAATGATTCCATTTCTGTGACATGCCCGGAAGAGGCAAATGTATAGACAAAGTAGATGAGTAATTGCCTAGGGCCGGGGATGGGGCTCTTGGAGGGAAATGGGGAGTGATCGCAAAGGGGTATGGGACTTCTTTTTAGGGTGATGAAAATGTTCTAAAATTGATTATGGTGATGGTTGCACACAACTGTTAAAAATCACTGACATGTATGTGTACTTTAAATGGGTGAATCGTATGGTGTATGAGTTGTAGCTCAATAAAGGTGTTACCTAACCCCTCCCGGCTTTCCCCATTCAGGGATGTGGACGATGGCCATCCCAAGACTGCCCCAGCCCAGGCACCGCCTCCACGGCTCAGTCCTGCCCCCGGCCGCCCCCGCACTCACATGATTCCCGGGCGGAAGTAGCTGCAGAAGCAGTCGGACTCGTGGGCCTGCGCCTCGCGGTGCAGCACGGTCTGGCCCCCCAGCTCCTCCTGTAGGTGCTGCTGGAAGGCTGCCGCAGTGCCCTGCGCCTCCGCACCCGCCTGCTTCCCGACCCAGTAGTGCAGGTCGCTGGACGCCCCCTGCGTGGCCTTCGGGCTCTGGGGAACCTAGGGTCCGGGTGTTTGTGTATATGTGTTGCAGGGAAGGCGGAGGTGCGGCTGGAGAAGGGGAGGATGTACCGAGGGCCATGGAGAGACGCTAGGCAGGGGCTTCCGCGGAGATCAGGAAGCGGGAGGGAAGGGCTAAGAAGCCTCACCGGTAACCGCCACCTTGTGGGATGTGATTCTCGGGCTCTCAACTTGCCGCTTCCCAGGGCAGAGTTGATGTCTGTGCCACAGTCTCCCCAGTGCTGGGCCATGTCACCCCTCTCAGACAGACTTCCCCAAGCGACTCACGTGGAGGATGACATAGCAGTGTTCCTCAAAAAAGTTCCCGTAAGCCCCCTCGGGTACCGGCACCATCTTCTGGTTCTGGGAGAGGAGAGTGTCCTGTAACAACTCAGGAGATCCCTACCCATGACACCCGCTGGGGTGGGGTGGAGGAGGACGCTCTCAGTTGGGTGTGGGAGAAGCCTGGTGTGGGAAAGCCCACGCTCTTCCATGTCACCAACTCTCCTATCTGGTCGTGCCTCTCACCTCAGTGATCCATATGTGGAGGCCTCCCTGGATGGCTGGGAGGCCCTTGCTGATGTCCATCCTAGGCCAGGCAGGAATATGGGATGACACAAGGAACAAGAGCCAGAGTTCTCAGGCTGGAGACAAACGCCTGGCTACCTGTACAACTTCATTATAGAACATGACTTTTGTTAGCAGGGCTCTGTAAACACACAAATGTCAGCACACAGACTATGAAGACTGACAGATTCTGCAGCAAGTGACAGGCTCAGCTGATATGAGTGGGTTGGGCAGATTAGGCATAAACACTTGACAATTTTTTTTGTTTTTTCAGTTTTTTCGAGACAGGGTCTTGCTCTGTCACCTAGCCTGCAGTGCATGATTCGAACACACTTCACTGCAACCTCCGCCTTCTGGGTTCAAGTGATGCTCCTGCTTCAGTTGACAAATTCTTGAAACAGAACGGAACTCTGTATAAACACAGGCTCTGCAAACAGCCACAGGCTCTGCAAATAGCGATTTAGCTTGCTTGAGTCTGTGCTGTGTGGTTCTGCGTGTGCGGAGGAGGGAGAGAATGAGAGGGCAGTGAGTGACAGTGACATGGAATGAGAAGTACCTGGGCGAAGGAAGGGACCCTCATTTCTGTCGATTTTGTTATGTCTTGGCACTTCATACTCAATTACCTGAGGCTTCTCTGCACCACTCTTTCAGAAACCTGTGTGTGAGGTTTGGTCCAAAAGTCACTTCTTTCTAAATCTCTCACTCAGGGTGACCCTGGTGTGTTAGTCCTTCCCCCTCCCCCTCCACTCCCACTATGTCTTATCGACAGCAGGAACACCCTTGGCTCCAGGCAGAACAAGGCGAGGGGACAGAGTTACAGAATCAGGCGTGGTACAATAGGTGGCATAAAGTGGCTCACATTCCTTACACCTTTGTCAGGGGCCCTGGTTTGGCCCTGGTGAGTTCACAGTACACTGTGGCAACACCCAACAGGTAGCCAAGGAAATGTGGTGGGAGCAGAGGAGGCTGTGGGGCAGCGGGGGCAGAGTGGGCGGTCCTTCTAGGGGGTTAGAGCTGGGTTTAGCTCACAGCTCCTCCCGCACCCTATGGAAACCATAGGATGGTTGTTGGCTGCTGTCTCCCTCACCAGAACATCAGATTCCTGAAGGCAGGGGTTTGTCCTCTTGTTTACTGTGGGATCCCAGCTGCCTGGCCCCCAGCGGGTACTCGGTAAGTAGTTGTTGAATGAGTGAAGCGTGCTGCCCTGTGACGGGACTGAGTGAAAGTGAATGGAGAAGGGAGCCGTCCTGCACCCTAACTGCCCCAGGATCTGTTGCCACAGTTGATGGCCTATTGGTGTGACAATGACATGAGTGATAGGCAGACATAGTGGCCATGAAAAGGTGATCTCAAGCAACAGAAAACGTGAGGACGTTGGGTGGCAAGCAGGTTGGCATGCAATGGTGGCCCTGTAGGACACTGAGTAACAGGCAGAAATAGTGACCAGCGACAATTACCAGAGGCCCAGGCAGGCAGTGACCAGAGGTGCAGACAGAAACTGTGAGCTGTATGTAGCTCATGGAAGAGTGCAACTCGGTGACAGAGTATCAGAAAGACTACTGGATGGCCTCAGAACAGTGGCAACCAGGGCCCATGGGGGACAGGAAAGTCAAACTGGCAGCCAGAAAGTTGGGACTCAGCTGGTGTCACTGGGAGGGGCAGCATAGCCCCCAGGGGGCCGGGAGCCTGTCTGATATCCAGCCCCAGCCTGTGGAGCCAAACCCTCAGCCACCAAGGGCTGAGGTCCCACTCCCATGGCATCTGTGTTCACTCTCTTCCACCTGGGCTTCAGGGGGGAATGGGTGCTCAAAGATCGGGGGCCTCCTACCTCTCCACAGTGCCGCCTCCAACCTTCTAAGCCCTCCTGCCCTCTTTCCTCTGGGGAACTCCTCACAGTGCCCCCTCCAACCTCCCAAACCCTCTTGCCCTCTTTCCTCTTTCACCACCTTCCCAAGTGGGAACCCTCCTACCCCTGCTCCTCTCCTTCCTCCTAGAAGCCCCTCCTTCTCTTCCCTGGGGGTGCGCTTCCTCCACTCAGGGCTCCTTTGTCTTCCAGATGCCCAGTTCCTTCCCTGGTTTCCCTTTCTCTCCCTATGCCCCACGCCTCCCCTTTTCCAAGGTTTCCCTCTGTCCCCGCCTGGTGCCCCTGCCTCCCACTGGCTCTTCCTTCTCCCCGTTGATTTCCCCTCTCCCCTGGGATCTTCCCCTTTTTCTCCCATTTTTCCTTCCCAGGCACTTCCTCCTTTCCCGGTTCCCTGTTTTCCCCTACACCCCTTCCTGTCTCCCTCCCTGCCCTCCCTCCCCAGGTCTTCCCTTCTCTTCCCGGGCTCCCCTGTCTTTCCCAGGGCACTCCCTACCCCCTTCACACACACCCTCTTCTCTCCCCCTGCCCCTCATGTCCCTGGGTGCCTCCTCTCTCCTAGCCCTCTCCCTCCTCCAGCGCCTCTTTCTCTCCCTACAGGAGCCCTTCCTTCCTTTGTGGGTACCGTTGAAGGGAGCTGGAGATTACCTTGCCCAACTTCCAGGGAGCAGGGAGTGGTGCCACCCTCTAGAATGAGGGGAAAGGATGGGGCCAGGGTTGGAGGCAGGCACACTGAGTCTGTGGGCCACGGACTTCCCTGCCCTTCTACAGAATCCGCCACTTTCTTCCCCTTGGGCTGCCTGCCACAGTGGCCCTGCCCCATCAGTGTTTTCACCTGCTGGGCTGCTGCTGCCTCCCAATCTTGCCGCCAAGGCTCTGTGGCCCTGAGCCCTGCGACCCTATGCTCTATGCCCCTGACTTGAATAGCCCACTCTCTGCCCCACTGGTTCCCTGGAACCCCCCCCACACCCTGCCCAGGCCTACCTGCTGGAAACTGCTCCCGCGCCTTCACCCTGCCTGTGGGCAGTGCTGGGCCTGGCACAGGGCCAGTCTCTGCCTCCCTATTCCTGGCCCCTGCCACTGTAACTGAATCCCAGCTCCTGCCCTGCAGGACACACCCCACCACACAGCACTCAGCGGGCTGGGCATTCACTTAGTCAGTCAGTCAGTCAACAAATATTGAGCAAGCCATCTGGGGGCCAGCGCCCTCCCCAGGGCTATGGCTGTCTCCCAGGTCTCACTGCCTGGGTACCAGTGGCCAGAGAGAGCAGGGGATGGAGGCCTGGACTGGGCTAAGTGGTGAGGCGTGGAAGATACTGGAATTTCCCTCTCTGGAGTACTAGATGGGCCCCTGATCCCTCACCCAGGGTGGCGGGCTCCCCCTGGACCAAGAGGGCCAGGCCACTCCAGCAAACTTTAGGAGGAGGTAGGACTGAGGCTGGGGGCTGTGGGGTCCGGCTCTGTGGGACCCAGCTCACTTCAGGAGGGGAAGGTGGCCAGGGCTCCCTCTAGATATTTCTGCTGTCCCGACCCAAATGTGAGCTCACTGCCTGGCACAGCCCTCCTCAGGGAACCCCGCTACCCATCATGGGAGAGGCCAGTCCAGCTCTAGCAGCAAAGACCCCTCTCCCTCACCTCAGCTGCCACCCACTGCCACTCTCTCTCTCTCTCACTGCGGGGTGGAGGGGCTGCAAATACAGCCTTCCAGAAACTCCAGGGGCACAACCTCCTCTTGGCAGCTTAGGGCACAGGCCTCAGTCGCAGCCAAGGCCCAGCCAGCATGGGCCGTCCCATCAAAGCCACGCTGCTAAAGCCTGCCCACTGCCCACTGCCCACTGCCCACTGCCCAAGACCCTCTCCCTGTGCTCAGTCTTCACCCCACAAAGGTCTCTGTCACAGGGGTCTGGGGACTTGGGGACTCGGGGGCAGTCTGTGCCCAGCAGGACCTACAGCTAGTGTGTGACTGTGTTTAATAGACACAATGCAGGGTCCCTGTGTGTGAAGGGATGCCTGTGTCACAGGCACTTGGTCTGTCCCCATGTGTGCCATTGCCTGTCCGACCTCATGTGTGTGCCTGTGTCCTGGCATGCCTGTCTAATCCCCACTTGGGACAGGGACCCTGTCTGTGACAGTGGCAGTGCATCTGCTGCGGCTGTGCATACCCTTTTCCCTGTCTCCTTTTGTCCCTGTGCCCAGGAAGACTCTGTGTCCTCACTTCTTCCCACTGACTCTCCCCCCATCTCCCCTCAGCCCACCCACTCTGTTGGTCTTGGTTCTTGAATTCCCTGGTAATGGCTCTTTCCTAAGTCACCAATGCCCACTCTCATCCAAGCGGCAGTCGGCAGTCGGTTCAGTCACCATTGTTCCTTCCCTCTCACTCCACCCATCTCCCTCAGGCCTCTAAATGGCAGCAGGTGCAGAGCTCGGGCCTTCACTCCTGTTTGTTTTCTAGTTACCTTCCCAGTTCCAGTCTGAAGGATGCAAATACCATGGAAACGCAAGCGTTTCCCTGACCCAACTCCCCTGAACCTTGCCCCAGCCTAAGTCTCCATCTTCCATCTGGTCACATCTCTCCCGGCACGTTTGGCCTCACACTTAACATTGCCTCAGGCCCGTCCCAGATCTACCCTTTCTGAGCCCCAGGAACATGTTCAGCGTGAACATCCAGTGGGTGCTTAGGCCCTAGACCTGCAGTTGCCTTGGTTTCTGTCTCCCCCAAGCCACTGGCCAGTCTGCGGCTGGTTCATGGTGAATCCTGGCCCTGGCCCTCCCTCTCATGCCTCCTGCATGCTCCGGAGCCAGCCTCCCTCTGTGTCTCTGGGTCTGCCTGGCCACTGCGGCCATCCTCCCACAGTATCCAGAGGGATCTTTTTTCCTAAGATTTAAAACACTGTGGTAAAATATAAAAAATCTTTTTTTCATAAGATGTAAAAAATTGTAGTGGCCGGGTGCGGTGGCTCTAGCCTGTAATCCCAGCACTTTGGGAGGCCGAGACGGGCGGATCACGAGGTCAGGAGATCGAGACCATCCTGGCTAACACAGTGAAACCCGTCTCTACTAAAAAATACAAAAAACTAGCCGGGCTTGGTGGCGGGCGCCTGTAGTCCCAGCTACTCGGGGCTGATTCAGGGGAATGGCGTGAACCCGGGTGGTGGAGCTTGCAGTGAGCTGAGATCCGGCCACTGCACTCCAGCCTGGGCGGCAGAGCGAGACTCCGTCTCAAAAAAAAAAAAATAAAAAAAAAAAAATTGTAGTAAGATATACTTAAAATTTACCATTGCATCCCCTTTTATTTATTTATTTGAGACAGAGTTTCGCTTTTGTTGCCCAGGCTGGAGTGCAATGGCGCAATCTTGGCTCACTGCAGCCTCCGCCTCCTGGGTTCAAGTGATTCTCCTGCCTCAGCCCCCTGAGAAGTTGGGATTACAGGTATGTACCACCACATCCGGCTAATTTTGTATTTTTAGTAGAGACGGGGGTTTCACTATGTTGGTCAGGCTGGTGGTGAACTCCTGACCTCCAGTGATCCACCCACCTCAGCCTCCCAAAGTGTTGAGATTACAGGCATGAGCCACAACATCCGACGTGTATCCACTTTTAAGTATATGGTTCTGTGGTGTTAAGGACACTCATATTGTTGTGCAACCGCTGCCACTATTTCCAGAATTCTTTCATCTTACAAAACTGAAACCCTGCACTCATTAAACACAGACTCCCCATTGCCCCCAGCCCCTTGCAACCACCATTCTATTTTCTGTCTATGATTTTCACTAACTAGAGGGAAAATTTAACCTCAGAATTTAACCATAAACCCACTCACACCATCCCCCTCTCCAAACCTTCCAGTGGCTTCCACTAAAACTGGGATGAAATTCTCAATGGCCGTTCCCAGCTGCCTCTCCCATCGCTCTTTGCATGGCTCACTGCGTTCTGGCAATGTGATTCCTTGTGTGCCTTGAAGACGCCCAGGTCGTTGTCTGCAGACCTTTGCACTGCAGTCTTCTGTGCCTGGAAGCCCCACTCTGTATCTTCCCGTAGCTGCTCCTTTACTGCATTTAGGCCCCAGCCAAAATGGCAGCCCTGCAGAGGGCCCTTCCTGCCATCCTTAGCCACAGCAGTCTCCCTCCTCAGACATCTCCACTTTCCTCATGATGGTGCTCCAAGAAGCTGGTCTCCTTGCTAAGTGGGATCTTTGGTTAGTGTCTGTGTCCCAGCTGGACTGTGAGTCACTGTGGGCGGGGCCTTGCTCATGTCCACCTGTGTGTAGAATGGTGCCCGGCATACTGCAGTTGCTTAATAAAATGTTTGCTGACATGTTTCTGTGGCCTGCGCCTGACCCAGTGTGTGTGTGTGTATGTGTGTGTGTGTGTCTGGATCCTTTACTGGGCTCAGTCCTCCTCCTCTGAGAAGCTGAGGGGGTTACTCCTCTTCACTTTGGTTGTGGGCTAGATACCCCAGCTGGCACAATCCAGTGTCAGCAGCTTAGTGGGGGGCACGAGAACTTCTCCAAGGCCTCACCCCTCAGAATTGTCTCGGTGTCTGCAAACCAGAAGATGTCACCTGGGCAGAACTGCCCTGTACAGAACCACCGACTCTGTAACCTGTGATCCCAGGCCCAGGAGAGATGGCAGTCTGGCCTTAGAACCTGGCTTCAGGCCACGATGAGCAGCACTGCCTTGAGTCTGGCCTGGGCAGCCTCCAGCTCATGGCTGTCACACCCCAGGCACACAGAAGGGAAACTGAGGCCCAGGGCAGGCTCACAGGCAGCCGGGTGCTACAAGAATGGGAGGGTGGGATGCCTAGCTTTTCCCTCCCTCCTCCCCCTAGCAGGAAAGGGGTCCCACCACCTCACCCCCATCCCTACCTCCGCCCTTCTTCAAGGGGGCCTGCCGGGACTCAAAAGGGCCCTGAGTAGAGTTTGCCTTGCTAGCAAAGCCCTGCCCTCTTCCTGCCCCAGCCCCCCTTAATCTACCACCTCCTCACTCAGCAAGTTTCCAGGGCTTGGGGCCTACTTTGTTCCTGCCTGGCTTGTCTCCAAGGCCCAGCCCACTCCATGTCAATATTGACCCAGGTGAAGGAGTGGCCCCAAGCTAAGTCCAGGCTCCGCCCCGGTTTCCCTGGGCTCAGGCATCCTCTCCCAGGCTTCATCCCCCAGGCCTTCTCCAGTCTCTCCCAGACAGGTGCAGAATGTTGCCTCTGTGGAGTCCGGGCTCTGTAGGGAGCGTCCCTCCCTGAGGGCAGACAGGAAGTGAGGACTGGAGCCCACTGCTGGAGATGCCCTGGCTCCTCATGCTGGAGGGGAGCAGCCATGGGCCGGCGTGTGTCCCCACATCTGGTGGTCCCGCCCTGGGCTGCAGGATGTGGAAGGAGCTGTGGCAATGGTCACCGGGGCTTGCATAGGCTGAAAGTGACTCCTCCCAAGGACACCACAGGAACTGCTGGGTGAGAGGACAGACCAAACACCAACCCTGGACCCCTGCAAACAGGTGTCACTGCCTTGCCCACTGTGGTCCTGCTCAGCAGCACGCCCACCCATTAGGACCCAGCTTGGGTCAGGAAAGCCCCTGGCCTGTTGGAGGGGTGGTGCAAGGCTGGGGTCCGTGCCTAGTGGCAGTGTGACCCTTCCAGTGTGCAGTGGGGGGCTCCACTCTGCTCCCCACCTGTGTGAAAGCAGGTGCTGTCAGCCAGGCAGGGGTCTTATCAGGCCTCCCTCCTCACTCCTGCCTTGGGAAAGGCTCCCAGTGCCCAGGTGGGCTTTTCTCTGTACTTTTCTGGATTTTCCAAGTTTTTGGCAATGAACATGTATATGGCTGATCTTTCAGGCAAAGCAATGTGTCATTTTCCGCAAAGCTCTGGCCACGGCTCCTTTGCCACACCTGGGCATCAGGCCTGGAACAGTTTTGGAGGACTTGCCTTTCCTCTGTAGCCAGTCAGAGCAGGGGGTCTCAGCCCTGGCTGCCCTTTCCAGTCTTCTTGGCACTTAAAAACATGGTGCAGGTCCCCATCTGCAGAGATTGGAAATGGTCTGGGGTGGACTTGAGGGATGTGTGTTTGAGACCCCTCAGGTAATTCTAGCGTACAGCTGCAGCCAGAGCTGAGAATCACTGCGCCAGGAGAGGGAGCTGTAATGGAGGCTTGGGGCGGAAAGCTCTGGGGCCATGTCCTCCTCCCGATGGCCTCTGTTCTCAGAGGTCAGGTTGGTGGCCATGCCAGTTGGTGGCTCTGGGCCTTGAACAGCCTGCTGACCCATGGCCAACCCTGGCACAGATTTATCGTGCAAGCATTCAGGTTACTCCACAACTCGGCCACAAGCCCTCAATGCACTCATCCATAAGCTCCACAGAATGTTCATCAGCTGATGTGCCACTGTTCCCAGGCTGGCTTTTCCCAGCCACTCCTTCCCACCCTCCTGAGCTTCCTGCCCATTCCTTGGTCGTGTAATACACACATATGACATGTGCTCAAACTAGAAAACACGGAAGGCATATCTCAGCATGTCTAAGTCCCCAAATAAGTGCCCTCTTGACGCCCCGTGTGTCCTTCCCACCTATTTCAGGGATCGGTGGACACTCATGAGGATACCTCAGCCTCAGACACTGCCACAATTCTCAGCCTTTTATCTGTTTGCCTATTTGCAAAGGTGTGAAGCAGTGGGGTACAGGGTTGATGCCAGAGAAAGTGAGAGGGACAGAGAGGGCTGGGGAGCAGAATGAAGGACACAGCCTAGGAGTCTGGAACCAGGGGAGGAAGCTGTGGTGACTTCTCTCTGGCTGGCTAGCTGCTCCGCTGTGACGACAAGGAAACTAGAGGCACGGCACAGGCTTAGCTGTGGGGTATTTGGGGTTTTGTCTCTCGGTAAATATTAGGTCTCCTGGGCTGATACACACACTGTGTCCTGAGTTATTTGGGATGAATATATGTGCCTGGTAGAATCCTATATCTTGTGATAGAGCAAACTGCAGAGCTTTGTCTCACTGGCCTGTTTTCTCATCCACAAAATGGGGATAAGACCTACCTTATGAAATTGACACTGGTGCTATCTGAATCACATATCATTATGAACAGAAAGAGTCCTGAGAGTGGCGAAGCCATGTCCAAGACCCTGCCAGGAGTCCCTAGCAGAGGAGGACTCACTGCCTCTCTCACCTGCATGTACAGAGGGACTGGGTTCAGGACACTGGCGACAGAATGTCTCACTGCAAGAAACTGCCTGGGACATCCTGACTCCTCTTCCGACTCCTTGCCGTGCTTCATCTGGCAATCATCTCAGTCACTATGCCCATGGGGATGGGGATGGGTTTAGGCACCACATATAATGCCTGTGGCTCTTATGGAATGGGAGGTCCCAGTTCTCTCAGGCTGAATTTTCAAGTCTGCTGGGAGGACTGGAATCCTTGTGGGAGGACAGTGAGCCATACCGCCTCTGGAGAGAGGAAGCCAGGAGGCTGAACAGCAGTCACCCTTGGAGTGACAGGCAATTTGGGTGGGATGGAGGAGCTAGAAGATCAGTCTGTGGCTCCTGGAGTGCTGCAGCCCGACTCCCGTCCAACCCTGTTCCCCAGAAGTGGGGATACCAGGAGACCCAAGGTGATGGCATGAGGCTGTGCAGGAGGTGGGGAAGGGAGGGAGGAGAGGCGCTGCTGGTAGAAAAGCAGTCCATCCACAAGAGAGCGCAGTTTCACATGTTTATTTTTGGCAGGAAGGAAATCATTGCAAACCTTTTGATTGACAATACTCGCCCCTGGAAACATGCACATTCCACATGTAGCATTTCCCAAGTAATGCTGGATTGTTTATCACATTCAAATGTCCAACAGAAATCCATGACTACCCAGACACCAGCATCTCCACTACCTGGGGTGGGGGAGGGTGTGTCAGTCTGCAGAGAAGCTCCTGGGAGAATGGAACAGGAACAGACATGATCAAATTTACAGTACGGTAGGAACAGAGGCAGCCAGTCAATTATGAACAGTTAACTGCAAGTACGTCAAGCCATCCACTCTTCTCAAACCCTGGCATGCCAACTGTCCAGCACAGCACCTTTAAGAGCAGAGGCACAAACGTAGGAGTGTTTGACCATAGGGCTGTGTGGTTCTGGATTTTTTATTAGAAAGCCATCTTTAAAAATACAGGGTTGTAAAATGTTGCCAGGTTATAGACTTAACGAATTTTTTTTTTTTAAACACCAAAAGTTCAAATGCTGCAACCATGACAAGTCAGCATCATTAGGGCATCCTCGTGTCCCCAGAGACATCTCATCAAAATTGCACCATGTCAAAGGACCTTCCTCACCATCAACTGTGGCAGGTGGCATTCCTTTTTCAGTATGCAAATGCATTACTTACAAACAGCTAATGCATGGAACAACAGACCAACACACAGGATTCCAGAACAAATGGAAGACAGAGCATTAACAACATTGGGAGTGCCCGTGCACTTCCACCAGAGGCCTGGCCAGAGAAGTCATAACATCATAGTGGGCTGGAGTCCACAAACCCAAGGTGTCCTGTCCCAGAGCTTAATGTCAAAAATACTTCTCCAGAAGACTATATTTAAACCTGGTACAGAAAGGACCATGGAAACTCAGGAGGTCAGGGTTCTCTTTTGACTAAAGAGTTGGGGGTATTTTGGTAACATGGGAAGTATATGGCACAGAGAAGTGGCTAACAGGTTTCATTAGGTTTCAAAGCCCACAATTTAATAAATGGTAATAATTAAAAACAATACCCGTATTTACCTTAAAAAACATAAACCCCAAACATTCATCTCATTTCTTGGCCTTATGTTAGAATTCTATTGCTTCATTTACATGTAGATGATTAAAAATATATATAGATATAGATATAGATATTTTGATTATATACATAAAGCAGGTTCAAGGGTTAAAATAAAAACGGAATTTTGGAGTGTGATCAAATAAGGTGCACAGATTCCAGAACCCTCAGAGGGCCTGCTGGCCCTCCCAAGACATTCTGTGTCTGTGGTGGCAGGAGCTGGGCCCCGTCCCTAACAGCTCTGCACTGGCTTAGTGCAACGGTGCTCACAGTTTCAGGAACTACTAGGTGAAGTGTCTGGCTCAAGCCTGCCAAGTGTCTTCACTCCATCGTCAGAAGTGGAGCACTATTCCTAGGTTCGATTCCCCTGAAATATTTTACGATTTCCATCCTCTTTGCCCCCTCTTCCAAATAAGGCCCTGTGATGCCAATGAAGGGGGCATGGTTGAGGGTCTAAGGCTCTCATTAGGGCCTAATTCTGTGTGGATATCAACACATGACAGACACTTGACTGCAACATTCAAGACATTTAAGGCAGTGGGTTCATTTAATGACTATTTTTCCAAATAATAAAGGTTTGTGGCATGGGCAGTTCTACCATGTAACTGTCATTATCTGTGGTAATACCTAGCAAGGGGCTGTTCTATTTGAATTGGCGAGTGGATTACTGGGTTTGGGAGACCTGTTTATCCCCGAATACTTACTTCCTTTCTGAATATTCACACAGTAGTCCACAGACCAAAGTGCTGTTGGGAGGACGTAATTGGCAGCTGGCTTCATTACTTTGTGAATGAAAACAAAGCAAAGATATTTTACTTTGACCCCCGATTTCCAGTCTTGTTAATGCCAGTCACTCCCGCCAGAACGCTGGCTGAAGACCAACCCACAGAGGACTAAGGCAACGGTGCCAACATGAAAGGGTCCTTTTTAATTGTTTTTAAGAGCAATACTTTACAGACCGTCTTGTTGTCAAACAAGGAACATGGCACTGCTTAAACACCAAACTGGGAAAGGTTAGAGAGAGCCTGGGCTCTCCCTGCGGGGAGGGAGGCTTTCCTCTCCCCGGTTTGGGGCGTTGAGTCCCACATCTAGACAGGCTTCCCCAACCCTTGGCTCAGAAATAGGCTGTGCTTCAAAGGAGAAGACCAAGAGATGGACTTGGGCCACATCAGCTTGGTGGCTGGTTGAGGCCACGGGTTCTCAAGAGAGAACAGTCAGCTTATTTATCAAACAGGATCTGTTACTGACTGCAGTTTAAAATCCATGCCACACCTAAGTGGTGCTTTGGCCCTTTTGCCTTTGTACCCTTCAGTGGCCAATGCCAGGAAAGGGTTACAGGTGGTGGAGGCTGCAATGGGGTGGGACACCTCTGTTTTTGACCCTGTCCGAGTTTGTAGCTTAGCAGTGAGCATATTCTGAGCATAGGCACAGTGGCAAAGAACAGTGTAACAGCCGCTGGTCAATTCCATTTGGTGGCAGCGCGGTAGCAGCAAGGAAAATTCCCAAACAGCTCCATATGTATCCAGCTTTTGGAAAGGAAAGATTTAAAAATCAATAAACAGATTTCTTTTATATCCAAAAGTTTTAGGGTTTCTTGTCACTGCTCTACCCCAAACAATAACAACAAAAAACACAAATGTATGGCAGTAGTGTAAGAGCAGAACGGACAGGATGTCACTTTTCAAGGGGAAAATGTGACCTGAAGACAAAGTTGTCACCATCAGAAATAATAATATAAAATAATCTATTGTTTCCTAAAGTGTTGAGCTACACAATTGCAGATACATTCCAAACTGGGTCAAAAATGAGTGGAGACAATGACATAGTCATGAAATCCTCCTATCAGGAGCCTGACCCTGCAGCATGCCACAGGTTGTCAGAGCAAAGTCACACCTGTTGGGGGACAGGCTCCTGTGACTCACTCCCCTCCCTCAGCACTCCCCGCCACACACACACACACACACACACACTACCAGGTTCTAGAAAATTGTCATGTTCATCTTCTTATAGTATCTAAGACAATAAAAGACTAAACGATGTCTGGAAATATGTTGTGTAGAAAAATTAACTCTCAGCTTAAAATAACATTCAAAAGGCACTTCATCCTGTAGGAAAGAGATTCTGAGTTGGGTCAGCTGCTCCGAGCTGGGACAGAAGGGGACAGGTGGTCTGCCTGGAAGGGAGGACAGTTGAAAGGAAGTCTGATAGAGATCAAGCTTTTTTTTTTTTTTCTATTTTTTTCTTTTTGGTATGTTTTAAGAAAAGCAAATCCAGTAAAATGCATGTCCCTTTATGAAATTTGTTAAAAGAGTTCTTTTAAAATAGTTGTTTCTGTTCTTAAAAAAACAAAACAGGTAGGCATGGCCACATTCACCCTGTGGCGTGGAGCACGGAGTATCCTCACTTTCAGCTTCCAGGGAGCTGAGGACAGGCAGGTCCCCTGAGGCCAGAGGTTCCAGAGTGCACAGGCGGGAGGCAGGCAGAGGCCGGGGCTACCTATTGCAGAGTCTATGCAGCATGCTGTACACGTCGTCCTCCCGGCTCAGGCCCTCAAAGAAGGGGATGAGGTCCAGCAGCTCTGTGTCCGTCATGTCATCGAACCAGGACTGCACAGGCACCTGGAAGACAGTGCATGGTGGAGGCAGCAGGACTGCATCTAGCGCTGGGGGCTGCTCCTAACCTAAGTGGGTACCCGGACTTTGAGCATTTTCTTTGGTAAGGACAACTGGTGTTATCATCGTCATCATCATCATTTTGTTTGTTCCCTTGTTCAAATCGAGGCCAATCCAAAGCTAAATGGCTTGGGAGATGGCTCAGGGAGGCAAAGTTAAATGTAGCCAGTTTGTATGCATTTGCCTGTTTTGTTTTCCTGCCACAGGAAAGGTGGCCAGAGCATAGCATAGAATGTATGAGAACTAGCCTTGCTACTTGCCAACTTCCAAAAGCTCTTTCTACTGCACAAGTCGGCTCCTTGCACCTCAGAGCACTTGGAGTCAGAGGTTACATGCTAACCACTGACAGCGGGGAGCTCACATCCAGGACACAGGAAGGCTTTCACTTAGGGTCACTGTGCAATATTACATCACAAAGAGAAGTGGTAAATTTCCTCCCTTGCTTAACAGTGGTTAGTTAAAAACAGATGTCTAAAACTGTAGAACATTCTGAAGCTATGGGCAAAGACAGGATTTTCCCTTAGTTTTAGGCAGAGGAGTGGCGAGGGGTGGTAGCCAGGGGTACCAAGAAGAGTTATAAACAAATTTGAATAAACCAAACATGTTTAAAAGTAACATTTTAGCCCTTTTTCAAATCTAAAGATAGCTTAGAAACACAGACATTTATTACATAATTTTGAAAAATAAAGTAAGGGTTAATAAAGAAATGACTACGCCTAGGGGATGGGGAGAGAGTGGAGGAGAGGCAGAAATGAACAGACTTCTCTATCTTTATTTATAGGTTTGATGTTGGAACCATGTAAATGTGTTATAAATTAAAATACAATTAAACCATTAAGAAAAAAAGCAATAAAAGTCAATCTAAGTGTATATAAAATTGGTGACACAACCACACAATTACTTCAAGTGATTTGTGTGCGTGTGTGAGACAGGGTCACACTCTGTCTCCCATGCTGGAGTGCAGTGGTACAATCAGAGCTCTGCAGCCTTGACCTCCTGGGCTCAAGTGATCCTTCCACTCAGCCTCCCAAGTAGCTGGGACTATAGGCATGTGACACCATGCTTGGCTAATTTTTTTTTTTTTGAGACGGAGTTTTGCTCTTGTTGCCCAGGCTGGAGTGAAATGGCGTGATCTTGGCTCACTGCAACCTCCACCTCCTGGGTTCTCCTGCCTCAGCCTCCTGAGTAGCTGGGATTACATGTGCCTGCTGCCATGCCCAGCTAGTTTTTGTATTTTAGTAGAGACAGGGTTTCGCCATGTTGGTCAGGCTGGTCTTGAACTCCTGACCTCAGGTGATCCACCCCCTTGGCCTCCCAAAGTGCTGGGATTACAGGTGTGAGCCACCACCCCCAGCCTTTCTTTTTTTTTTTTTTTAGTAGTGATGGGATCTTGCTTTGTTGCCCAGGGTGGTTTCAAACTCCTGAGCTCAAGCAATCCTCCCTCCTCAGCCTCCCAAAGTGCTGGGATTACAGGCAGCCAGGTAAGCCACCAAGCCTGATAGTCAAGTGATTTTAAAACATGGTGTTATAACTGTACATCTCTCTAAAAATTCCTAAGCTGCATACAGTTGTCTTATTATTAGTCATAATTTAGTACTGCTACTGAAATTATTCAACATATACTACAGAATAAATCAAATATATAATTATGTTAATATCTTTAGAAATCAAGAGTTGCAGCATAAGATAAAGAGATACAAATACAAAACAAAGAAGCGAAGAAGTTACATAAAAACTTAACATTGAAATGGAAAAACCAGTATGAACTTATGATTTAGTTTTCTTTCTAAAAATATGTCATTTTTACCTCTGCCCTGAGGTATGGGCTAGAAGTAAAGTATATCCCATTAGCAATGAAAATTCGCCTAAACTGTGGTCTCTAAATACCACTTCCACTAATAGGAACCAGGCACCATACAAAAATGGGTGGTTCCAGGGCTGAGGCAAGAAATGTTCATGAAGAGCCTGGAACATCTTGTTGTTTAAGAAAGCAAGGAAGCTACAGGTTGAGCATCCCTAATCTGAAAAAATCTGAGTTCCAAAATGCCCCAAAATCCAAAATTTTTTGAGCACTGACATGGCACCACAAGTGGAAAATTCTATACCTGACCTCATGTGCTGGGTGGTGGTGAAAATGCAGGCACATGATACATGGTTTATTTAGGGTCCCCAAATTATAAAAAATATTGTATAAAATTACCTTTAGGCTATGTGTACAAGTTGTACATAAAACAGAAATGAATTTCATGTTTAGACTTGGTTCCATGCCCAAGATATCCAATTATGTATATGCAAATATTCCAAAATCCTAAAAAATCCAAAATCCAAAACACTTCTGGTACCAAGCATTTTAGATAAAGAATATTCAACCTATATCAAAGACTTGTTATTTTAAGGGATCTCCATAGCCAAAGGTGAAAATTTGAGCATGCAAAAGAATAACAAATGGGCTGAAACTACAACAAATCCATGAGTTCATAATGATACTAAAAAAAAATTATTGGCTACTTTTGGAGGCCGCTAGGACACCAACTCATTAGTCTGAAAATAGAAATTGCCATTTTGCAATTCCTCATGAAATAGTGGGTGTAGACAATGATCACCAACAACTGCTAAAATTATGAGGTGAGAGGTTCATGGGGAATTTTATAATAGATGGATCAGGCTAACACCACCTGAACCCAATAATCAATTTTAAATCTTTAAAAGTGGGGTAACCTGACATTTTATGCCTCCTGATATATCTTCATAAGCATATAATACCTATGATGTATTCTTTTTTCTTCTTTTTTTTGAGATAGGGTCTTGCTCTGTCACTCAGGCTGAAGTGCAGTGGCATGAACATGGCTCACTGTAGCCTCGACCTCCTGGGCTCAAGAGATCTTCCCACCTCAGCCTCCCAAGTAGCTGGAACCACAGTGGAACCACAAGTGTGTGCCACCCCATCTGGCTAATTTTTCTTTTTTTAAGAGATAGGGTCTTGCCATGTTGCTCAGGCTGGTCTCAAACTCCTGGGCTCAAGCGATCACCTGCCTTGGCCTCCCAAAGTGCTGGGATTATAGGTGTGAGCCATTGCATCTGGCCTCTATGATATATTCTTGCAAAAAAAAGAAAAAAAAAATCTAATCAAGCAGTAGAGCTCTAATTACTTGTTTAGAGGATATCAGGTGGCTATAAAAACATACTAAACATCATCACAAGGCAGCAGCTGGACAAATCCAGAATGTAGGAGATTTCTACAAGACAAAACACCAGGGCTGCTTCAACAAATAAATAGCATAAAAGAGAAAAGGGGAGGAAGGGGAGACGTTAAGTTTACAAAAGAATGAAGAGACATGGTAACCAAAGCAATGCATGGATCTTTTTGGATCCCCACTGAAATACTCCAAATGCATGACACTTCGAGATGACAGGGACAATGTGAACACAGTCTGGATATTAGACAATGTAAGAAACTGTTACTTTGTCAGATCTGACCATGACTTGTGATTATATTAAAAAGGAATCCTTATCCATTAGAGACACGTTACCAAATATATTATGTTGAATTTGATTTACTCAGTAAAATGAACATATTTACATATAAATACATTTGGGGTATTTATTCAAATAATGATTCCACACTAGCCAAATGAATCGCGTTTGATTTGTTTTTGGTTACAATCAGGACTGCAGAGTTCTGGATTCAAGGAAAGGACTTTTGCAGGCTTTTGTAGAATCTGAGAAGCCTGTGCTTGAGAGGAAGCATCCTCTCCAGGGAAACATGCCTGGTCTAGGGGCCTGATGTGGCAGTGACTGAGGGGTCAGCAGTCACCAGAGGCCCTGGTTGGCCTCTCTTCCCCTGGAAGTGTCGGGCAGCAGGCAGGAAGGCAGTCCCTCTTGCCCTGAGAGTTGTGCGGCACCTGGTGAGTAAGCACCGAGAGCTGCCATGGTCCAGGGAGCTTTATGTAGGAAATGTTCCCAATGGGTGCTTTTTAGACATCATGATGAGGTAGCAAAGCTTGGTAGTCTCATTTGAAGACCTTATTGAAGTGTTTTATTCATTTTTTTTTTGAGATGGAGTCTCCCTGTGTCACCAGGCTGGAGTGCAGTGGTGGGATCTCAGCTCACTGCAACCTCTGCCTCCTGGGTTCAAGTGATTGCCCTGCCTCAGCCTCCCGAGTAGCTGGGACTACAGGTGCATGCCACCACGCCCAGCTAATTTTTTATATTTTAGTAGAGACGGGGTTTTACCATGTTGGCCAGCATGGTCTTGATCACCTGACCTCGTGATCCGTCCACCTCGGCCTCCCAAAGGGCTGGGATTACAGGCATGAGCCACCACGCCTGGCCTATTCATTCTTAAGAAATACTTCTGTTAAAGAGATCAATCATGACTCCTTAGTCTACAGGGGTCATGAAGTCCTAGGCAGTAGCTGGCTCCAGGAGGTTAATGCCAACAGAACCCTTGTCAATAACAATACTAAAAATATTGATAAGACGATACAGGCTTATAGCATTTATCAGTCTCAAGCACTGTTCTAAGTGCTTTTTGCATATTGCCACACTGCAACCTCCAATAATCCTATGAGATCAGCATTCCTATAATTCCCATTTGACAGATGAGGCAACCGAGGCTCAATGAGGTTACATAACTTGCTCAATGATGTGCAACTGCTAAATGGCAGAGCTGGGATTTCATTAGGAAAAGACCCAGAGACCTTCTTTTGTAGGTGCTTAAAAGTGGTGCTTGCCTGGCAAGACAGAGGGCTCAGATGGAGCATGACATTTTCTTTCTTTGGGGCCACTTACTGCATTCTCAGGATGGAAGATGTATGAGGCAGGGGAATTGTCGACAATGATCACTTTGCTCAGCTCCCGCCCAAGGCGACTCAGGTCCTTCACATAGTTCCCACGATGAAAAACACATGATTCTCTGAAGAGCCGGGCCCGGAACACACCCCAGCGGTCTAGGAGGTCAGCCACAGGGTCTGCATACTGGAAAAGAGGTGTCACAATGAAGGCTGCGTGCCTAAAACAGTCCCCAGACCCTGACCTACAGCAGCAAGATCCAGATTATGTTTTTTATTTTTTTATTATTTTTTTATTTTATTTTTGAGACGGAGTCTCGCGCTGTCGCCCAGGCTGGAGTGCAGTGGCCGGATCTCAGCTCACTGCAAGCTCCGCCTCCCGGGTCTATGCCATTCTCCTGCCTCAGCCTCCCGAGTAGCTGGGACTACAGGCGCCCGCCACCTCACCCGGCTAGTTTTTGTATTTTTTAGTAGAGACGGGGTTTCACTGTGTTAGCCAGGATGGTCTGGATCTCCTGACCTCATGATCCGCCCGTCTCGGCCTCCCAAAGTGCTGGGATTACAGGTTTGAGCCACCGCGCCCGGCCCAGATTATGTTTTTTAAAAAGGGATTTAATAATTAGATGTGTTTTCCTGGTTATTTTCCTCTCTGTATACATAAGATGGCACCGGATTCTTCCATTTCTCTCACATCCAACCCATCAGAAATTGTCAGTTTCATCTCCAAAAATAGCCTGACTCCATTTGCATCTCTCTATTTATATTGCCACCACTCTTAGCCCGGGCCTCGAATCTCTGGCCTGGGATGGCTGTGTGAGCCTCGTGAAAAACCTGTCTTTCCCAAGGGGCCTCCTTTCTAGCCCATTCACCTAGAAGCTGTCAGAGTGGTCACTGGAAAACATATGTGTGATCGTGTCACTCCTCTGCTGAAAACTCCACTGTCTACACACTGCACTTGGAGTAAAGCCCACGTTCCTCACTGCCACGTCCCACATGGCCACAGCTGAATGATCTCCATCTGGAGCTCCTGGAGCCACACTGGCTTTAAGCATGGTCAGGACCTTTGTACCAGTGTTCTCTCTGCATGCGTTCTCTCCTAGCTCTTTGCAGAACATTTGTCTTCTGGTTTTTCAGTCTTGACTTCCTCTCCCATCCATCTAGAGCCACCTCTATCTTCCTTTCTGGGTTGTTTCCCTCACAGAGTAGAGCACCACATGGGATTGCTTGATTTCCTCACTACTTGTCAGGGCCCAGGCCTGAAACATCCCACCACCACATCCCTGGCACCTCCAAGAGTACCTATCACAACAGGGGCTCAGGAAACACGAATTTCACCACTGAATGAATGAGCTGGCTCCAATGTGTCTTGAATGGCATGACACTGCCCCCTAGAGGTCCCGTGGGCACTTGGGCCAGACCAGCTGCTGAGTGACAGGATGGTGCCCAGCCATCCACTCCCATGGATGCCCATCCACTTCCTTGAAGCCCAGGAGCTGGATTTGAGCCCAGCTTACAGTTGGGGATCATCCTGCCTGACCCCCTCTCATGACCTAGGGAATTTCCCCCAAAGCAGGCTTGGATAAAGAAATAAAGGGGTTTCTGAGAGAAAATCCTCATAACTGAAGATACCTAAAAGAGTGGACCATACTGAGTGGCTGGGCCTGGAAGAAAGAGGAGCAGTTTCCAAGCCTGACCCGAGGCCAGGCCCCTGCACAAAGACCAAGTAAGGGGTACAACCAGGCATCAGCGGGACCCAGTGACTCTGCCAGGGAGGCAGAGAGCACCTGTGGCTGGTGGCGCTGGGAAGGCCAGCAGTGGAGTGCAGAGCAAGTGCCGGCACAGCTGTGGGACGTGGGCTGCAGAGCTGCAGGCAGCAGCTGTGATTCCACGGGAACATCCTCTCCTCTCCAAGGACATCCTGTAGAAGGCAGAGTCCAGGAGCAGCTGTGTTTCCTACTGGCCAAGGGAGGTGAGAGCTCAGGGCACTGGAGGTGAGAGCTCAGGGCACTACAGCTACCTCCTGGTGAGGCTAGCCAGGGGCCACGTGGGTGGGTTGTGGGCAACTGAGTCCAGATCAGGGGTATCCCATCTTTCAGCTTCCCTGGGCCATATTGGAAGAATTGTCTTGGGTCACACATAAAACACCACCACTAACAATAGGTGACGAGTTTTCAAAAAATCTCATGTTTTAAGAAAGTTTACGAATTTGTGTTGGGCCACATCTAAAGCTGTTCTGGGCTGTACACAGCCTGTGGGTCACAGGTTGGACAAGCTTGCTCTAAATGGAAAAAGATGATCCATTTCCTCATAATCATGAACACTTGTGGTGGCACCTATCTTTCAAAAAAGTGTCTGAGTCTGAGGCCTGGAGGATGAATGTGAAGAATGTAAGCTTCACAAGGGCAGGGACTTTGTCTCTTTTTTTCTTTGCTGTATCCCCAGGATTTAGTACTGTGCCTGATACATAATAGGTACTAAGTAAGTATTCGCTGGGTGAATGAAGGAAGAAATGACAAAGAAGCAGATCCTGAAAGGCTATGACAGTCAGCTTGAGGTTCCTGCAGGCTCCTGGGCAGCAGGCAAGGAGGTCCACTGCACCACTACTGCTGGCTGGGAGCCGAGCCCAGAGCCAAGGACGGACATGACTACCCATCAGCAGGACACGTGCATCAGGGAGGAAAGAGGGTGGAAGGCTGCACTTGGAAGCTGATTCGGCTCAGCTAGGCTGGAGTAGCAGCAAGAGAAGGGTTGAAGAGACAGATGGAGGGGCAGGTGGGAGCCATCCAGGAAGAGAAACCGAACAAGGATGTTTAAGCAAATGCTGGGGACAATGCCAAGGAAGAGTGTTTTCAATTTTCCCAAACAAAAACCAGCTCTCACTTCACTGCTACCGGTGCAATCTTCTTGTTTATTTCTTTGGTTATTACTTCAGGCTCTTCAGCATCTCAGAGCACTGTTGGAAGAGCCACTGACGCTACAGATAACAATTAGTCTTGGTACCACTCATCTGAAAGATTACCCACTGGGGAAGATTCTATTTTCCCTGAGGCCTTGTTCTCTTTTTGACATGCAAAAATAAGGGCCAGGATTTTGAATCCCACTCCACTGGCTTATGCTCTAAGGCCTGGTGATGAGTCTGGCAGCATTTGTGCAAGTGGGGCTCTCGCTCCCCTCCATCATCACAAAGAGGGACCCAACCAGCAATGGCCAGGTCAGCAAAGCAGCGGAACACGCAGAGGAAGAGAAGGGAGTGTGGGCACCAGGGCACTATCCAGAAGCAGGACATGGCAGAGGAAGCTACTGTGTGATGTCCTGGAGACAGGCAAATGGCTAATCTGAGCCCCAGAAAACTCATCTTTGGGACCACTCAGGGTCCCTGAGATGCCCATGGAGACAACTGTGGTGCTACCAACGAATGGATGGTGTCAGCCCCATCAAAGTCAGAGTTTGGGAAGTGGTCAAGGCAAGGATCTTCTGGGAGGAGCAAGGCCTATCCTGCCTGCCCACACAGCATGGGCACCCTGCCACACCTGTGAAGGGGAACACTAAACCATACTGGGAGGCTTGGGAATCTGCTAGTTTCCTTAAACAGTGGAGAGGACAAAGAAATCATTCTTTTTGGTCACAGCCAGTGTAGATTTTAGGTCAGATTCATATCAAGCTTTAGGATCAAGACATGTCTGAATGATTTTATTACCATCAACAAATATATGTATACATGTTTTTGAGATGGAGTCACTGTTGCTCAGGGTGGAGTGCAGTGGTGCGATCTCAGCTCACTGCAACCTCTGCCTTCTGGGTTCAAGCAATTCTCGTGCCTCAGCCTCCTGAGTAGCTGGGATTACAGGTGCCCGCTACCATGCCCAGCTAATTTTTGTATTTTGAGTAGAGATGGGGTTTCACTATGTTGGTCAGGCTGGTCTTGAACTCCTGACTTCAAGTGATACACTCTCCTTGACCTCCCAAAGTTTTGGGATTACAGGCGTGAGCAAGCATGCCCGGCCTATTATCATCAATAAATAATTGTAACACAAAATAATGAACATCAGGAGTGTTTACCACGTGACAATGCCCACCACATTATGTAGAACACAGCAAGTGCTCAATGAATACTTGCTGTATGTGAGTCAGACACTGTGCTAAGTCCTTTACATCTGTTATTTCATGTGATCTAGCCACAAGGTGAATGGAATTATCCCCAATTTATAGAAGAAACCGACATGAGAAGTGAAGTAACTTGCCTCAGATCATACAGCTCATTAGGGCAGTCGGAACTCTCATTCAGCCCATGCATGTGGGTGAGTGCCCAACACTTATCTCTCACTTGCTTCTTCCTCAAATCTGTGGAAGCAAAACCCAAGGACACAGGGGCCTCTAGCATTTGGTGGACAGTCAATGGTTGAGGGGTACACCATCCTTTGTCTGCTACACTGGACCTGTTTGTGATTCTCTGGACTGTGGACATCCAGCTTCAGGTGGCTGCATACAGCAACATCATGGAGCATTTGTTCTAAGTGCTCCCTGTCACCATGGTAACCCAGAAGGCTTTCAGGCTGGCACCATGCACATGGCCTGCATCCATCCCATCTGGGGTGGGAACCTGTCACCATAGAAATAGCCTCCCCCACCAAAACAAAGGGCTGCTTGACAGATTGGGGGTAGGGGTGGAGGGGCTGGGAGTACCAGGCTGCGAGTGTGGGGCTGGGAAGCAGGACTCACCTTGGCCAAGCTGGCAGTAAAGAGCACACATTCAAAAAGCTGCCCCATCCTCTGGAGGAACTCATCCACATGTGGCCGCTTCAGCACATACACCTGCAATGGCAGGAGACAGCAGACTGGTCAGGTGTGGCAGTTGCTGGGGATGGCCCGGGGCCCAAATGCCCACTGTAGGAAGAACTGCTACTAAGGTTCCTGCCTCCCTCCTCCAGGTCTATGCACAGCAGACAGAGGCCCAGACTGTATGAGGGGCTATGGAGTCAGACGTGGCACTCCTCAGACAGGGCTCCAGGTCTGAGTTCACTGCAGACGCCCCTCCTAAGGGAAAAAGAGAAGCTGACCATGGTGTGAGGGTCTTGGGGATATTCAGGGCCAGCAAGTAGAAGGGTTGTACCATGTTTGTGTGTAATGACTGATTCATTTCATGTGTGTTTCTTGGCACCTGCTGAAGGTCAGGACCTATGTGGGCACAGGCCATGGTCTGGGTGTTGTCCTTTTAGAGGTCCAGGCCCAGCCTACTGCCCAGCAGGTCTGGGATTGCTCTGGTTGCCACCTTCTGTTCTGGATGGACATCCCCCTTACTAGGAAGGTCTGGGGTTGAAGCACAGGCCCAGCAAAGCTGCAAGAAGGGGCTTCCTTGTCAGCTTGGGAAGATGTCTATGACACCATAAAGGTTGGGCTTGGTACATTTCAGGGGATATGAAACCATCCTATTTCTGGACCCCAGACATAACCCATCAGGAGGGGTCTCTGAGCAGAGGGGTACAAAGAGTAGCGTTTTCTAGAATGGCTGGGCTCTGTGTACCCTTTTGACCAGGCTAGGCCAGAGGTAGAAGTGAGGAGGCCAGGCTTCAGACCATACATTGGCTCCTGATTAGGGAGCCTGAATGAATCTGGGGAAACAAGGGAGATGGGAGAAAAGGCAAAGCTGGTGAGAGAAGACAGAGGAAGTGGGAGGAGGGAAAAACTAATTCAAACTTGAATAAATTCCGTTTGAAATTAGCCACTTCACTAAAATAAATCAAACTCTTTAAAATTCAATTCAGCATATTTACTGAGCCCCAGCTCTGAGCTCAGTCTGATGTAGTTGCAAAGATGAATAAAACACAGGCCTTGCCCTTGAAGAGCTCACACTCTAGAACAGACATAGGCAAAAACATATAAAAATAAACATGACATAATGAAAGTTGTAGTAGAGGGATAAATTAAGGACAATTAACTCCCCTCACAAGGAGAGGGGATCATAGAAGATAACATTTGGCCTGGACCTTGAAGGATAAATAGGAGTTCACCAGGCCAATAAGGATGACAAGAAGTGGGCTTCCAGGCAGAGGAAACAGTAGAGCGCGAGACCTGAGGCCTGAGAATACTTGAGATGTTAGAGAGTAGCCAGGCTGTGTGCCCAGCCATCAGAGGCAGTGAGAGAAGCAGGAGCAGCAGGGGCTGGGAGAGGAAGTGGCTGAAGATGAAGTGAGAGGCAGGTCATGGTGGGCACGTTAGGGCCTTGAATGGCAGATGGAGCAGGTGAGAATGGCAGGAGGAGCAGCAGAGGGGAGATAGATGGGGACTCTGCACCACATGCTGGGCGTGCTGCTGGCTGAGGAATTCTACACAGAACCAAGGCATTTTCAAGGTGCCAGAAGCAGGAGCTCAGGAGGGCCAGGACTCAGGGAGAAATTCATGGATGACTGAAAGAAGGAGGTCAACATGGGTTTGTGGCTGAGGGTGGAGCGAGGGGCTGGAGGAACAGGATGTCACAGCATGGATATCAGCACAGTTCTGAGGAGCTGGGAGGCTGGGGAAGGGCTGAGGGCAGGGCCTGTGGCTGCAACAGCTCCAGACTCCCACTTTGCCCACAAGACTCCTCGTTGCCAGCAAACAGGTGTGGCCTGTAGTCCTCCGTCTCCCTGGGAGTCCTGCTTGGAAAGCAAGCTTTGCTACATGCAAAGGGCAGGAGACTGATTTGGGAACTCTGGTGTTGGTGCCTCTGGCAGAGACGTGGGTCCTGAGCCCGGATGCCGGCGTCCAGGCCCGCGTCCCCGTGCAAGTAACCAAGAATAGGCCCATTGGGACCTGCACAGCCTATCCTGGATTACTTGAACGAGGCCACGGCCTTCGCCAGGGCCTTGGTCCTCCTGCTCTTGGCTCCTGTGGCTTCATTCCCTCGGGAGAGAATTTCTGACCCCAGCCCTGGGACCTTGTGATATCACAGCACAGCCAAGATGGAGGGTGGGGGAGCTACAGTGGCTCCTGCAAGAATGGGTCAGCAGTGGGCAGGCTGGTCATGCTTACAGTCACGTGGTACAAAGGATTAATTTCTCTCCTAATTCTTGACATGCCATTGGGCAGCCTCTCCTTTGTCTCATCATGAGCACTATGTAACACAAGCCAAGATGATAAATGCAGAAGCCTTAACTGCTTCTCAGATGCTGAGTTAATTCAGTTGATGCTTTTGCAAATGTTAAATGCCCAAGTGCCTGCCGTTTTGGCTCTGTGATGGCTTTTCAAAGCATGAAGTGTGGAAACACTAGGGAAAAAGCTGCCTCTCCCGGGGACTGTTTCCTGGCAGGACATCCTGGAGAATAAGCAAGAAAGCAAGGACAAGGGAGGGAAGGGACTTGAGTATCAGGAAAAGAGCCCTGGGCCAGGAGGCAGGAGACTGGAATTTTCATTTTAATTCTTCCCATTGTATGACCTTGAACCAACCCCTTCCCTGGCAAAGCCTCAGTTTCTCCATCTAGACAATGAGGCAGCTGGACCAGCTGATTCCCAAGCTTTCACGAGTTCTGACACCTTGCACTCAAGAACCAAAGACTACTGACATTGCTAAGAAAAGATATCCCGTTGTGGCTCAAGTACCAGGAAAGTCTCTTTCCTGGGATATCAGGCCAGATACGCTCCCTTTAAGACCTTGGACTTGACAAGGAATATGGTTAGATCATCCCTGTGGAAAACCTGACAAAAGCTCCCCGGCTTCAACCTCTAAGGCTAGTTTTCCTGCAACGTTTCCAATTTGTTCATAAATGAAGCTATTTCCAGAAAAGCTTTATGCAGATAAGGAAAAAAAACAGAAGCAACGAAGATGCATGCCAACTGACTACGACATCTTTATTCATAGCAGCCTGCGGATCTGAAAACTTAACACCCTTCCCCCTTTTTCTTTTGGGTTGGGTATTTGCTAAAGATTCTCTGGAGAAAACGATGCGGGAATGACAAGATCAGTCTGGAGCAGCTGGCATTGAAAATGGACACTTTTTCCCGAGAATCCACCATAAGTGGGTGACTTGTGGCATTTTCCTGTTGCCTGCTAGGAGAGTAGCCGAAAGCAATTACACAAGGAAGTTAATTAGACCATCAAGCTAGGCCAGTGGGGGATATGGAAACTTCTGAAAGTCTGCTTCAAATCAAAGAACTATTTGAACTTGTAACCACATCTAATATTTACGACTACAGTTTTTCTTATAATCTCAGTATAAATTCATTGGAGTGAAAAAAAGAAGAATATTGTATTTATTACAGTATGCTTCCTTTTGATTCAGTAATAAGGAATTATTACTGAAATGAGAATTTAGAAATAAAGTTCATAGGAAATGTAATTACTAAAAAATCTTAATTGTAACTCAAATTTAGCTTCAATTTCTTACCTGATGTATAGTTCCATCGATTTCAACCGGAACAATAAAATCAGCATTACTAATAGGCTAGAGAAAAAAGAGACTATAATTAATATGTCTGAAGGAACAAAAAAGCCTGGAAATTTTAGCAAGAAAAAAGCTTGCCTGGACCAATGTTTTGGTTATTGGAAAAAACAGTTCAGGAGGAGGATGCTGAAGCATGCCTTGGTTCCTTAAAATAAGCACAAGCAGGAAAGCACATTATTTTCCACTGTGAATGTCATTACATTTTCAGCATCTTGGTCCAATATCACCTGCCTGGCCTCAACCAAAAAGTGTGGCACTGCCTGGCTAGAGGATGGGGCTCCTGAAAACTCCACTTCTTGCCCAGAGTCCTGCTGGGGTGATGGGGAATCACTGCTAGCCACCAGGGGGAGGAGCTGAGCATGTGATGGGCTCAGAGGACAGTGTTGCTTGAGGGAAAACTATTTGTACTTGGACCCACGACTGGGGGCTGCCCTGTGATGGGCTGCTCAAAACAGTGCCAAGGTCATGTGGGGGTAAAGTCAGAGGCCACAGGCCATGCCCTTGGGCAGGCTCTTCCTCTCCCTGGACCTCAGTTTCTCCTCTCTTCCTTAGCTATTGTGATGGGTCTGATGCATGCCCATGGCCCCAATCAGTCCTGAGAATCAGTGATTTCAGGCCCTCCCAGGTAGCCTGGCACCAGCTCCTGCCTTGGGTGGAGGTACAGTGCCAGCCCACCCTATGCCTGCTCTGCTCCAAGGAACACAACATCCGGCACACCCACAAACTTCTGGATATTTTAAATAACTCTTTGACAATATTAATGACATTTAAAATTCAAATATGATTCTTCAGCAGTCACTATGTTCTCAATGATGAACTTACACACAGTTCTCAATGAAATTCCACAAATTAAGTACAAAACTACTTAAATGAACAGGCCCAACTGAATCATCAGCCTGCAAACCCCTGGACAAGAGAAGAGAGACAGAAGGAAGGAGAAGGTGTGTGTGGTAGCCACTGGGCAGGGGTGGGAGTACAGCGTCTCTGGTCAGACTCTGAACTGAGGTCTGCTTTTAAGCCCATCACAGTACACACAAACCCTCTTCATTGATATATAAACTAAAAAATAAAAACAGGAAAAACAAAAAACCATGGACAATGCTATGTCATAGCACCGTTACTAAGCACTTAGCTTACGATCACTGTTTATTTACTCCCAGAGTTGGAAGGCCAAGGATGAGTTCGGTATCATATAATTTCACAACTAAAATCAGAATCATGCTAAAAAACAAAAGGAAACACTGAAGGAAGAAGCTCTCCCAAGGCATTAGATTATGGAATCACATTCCACGGAGTATATTAAAAGAGAAAAACCATTCCCCAGCTTACAGCAAGCACCATCCTTACTCTCCTCTCTCCTGCTGGTGTAAAGGAGACTCTGCTACAGCTAGGGTTCTTCACTTGGAATCCATGAACCTATGCATTGTACAAACGTACATTTTTGAAGGGAAGAGGGTTCATAGCTTTCAGATTCTCAAAAGACTTTGAAATGCCCAGAACTCTAAAAACCATCAAGAATATTCTGGTTGCAAATGCAGGCAGGCCAGGGGAGGGAAGAAACGAGGAAATGCCATTCACATTAGCTTGTGGCATCAATGACCTCTGAGCAGGTGCTAGAGACACTGGGGGCTACCAAGGCCCTGCCTTTGGAGCAAGGAACCCTCAGTAACATCGGGTGATCTGGCCAGTGTTGCCCACACTCCCATAGCTGCTTCGGAGGGAGTTCTCTATGCTGTGATGGCAACCGACCTCTGCTCTGAAGGACTTTCCTTCACAGAGACTTGGAAAAGTCCTGAGCAACTTGCCCATGGGGGAGAAACGGCTTCCAGTGCTATCTAGGGTTAAGCTGGGACACAAGGTCACCATATCCCCTGGACCAACTCTGGAAGGGCCTGGCCCTCAAGTGCTAGGGAATAAGGTGGTCCCTGTATGCCCCAGTGGCCAGAATAAGGCCATTTCTCACTGCTAGAGGTCAGTGTGGTCTCTTCTCCACTCTCCAAAGGACTCAAAGACAATTTTCTGGCTTTGCCCTACCAGAAAGGTCTCTGTTTAGTGAGAAGAACAAAGGAGGATGTTTCTGGTAGAAAGGTGTTCAGGCATATTTGACAGCTCTTCTGCTTCCTACAGCTTGTAAGGAATGACTGTGGTTCATGTGAGACACATGCCCCATCATGGATGGTGACCTTCATGTCTCTCAGTGAAGGGGAGTCCTAGGCTGGTGGGGGAAATAGGAATGCAGTATAATGATAGAGCAGTCCCATTACCAGAAATAACCCAAGGAAAACAAGACCAGAATCCTAAACACCTGCTTCTTCTCCCCAAAATACCAATCTCCTATTTCCAAACTTTTCATCATTTGCCTCTTTTAAACAATTTATTTCACGTCAAAAAAAAAAAAAAAAAAAAGGTTAACTAACTCATTTCTTAACAGTGTCACCACAGCTCTTCCTGCATGGAGGCCATTTCTGCTGTTTTTCCAGCAGGAAGATGGAGATCAGGGAAGGTGACAGGAAGGAAGAGTGTCTGACCTCCACACCCTTTAGGAGGGAAGTCCTGATGGTGGGTACTCATTTAGCTGTGAAGCTTACAAAAAACCCCAGCCACCTCTTGTCATGAAGATGCTCAAACTAAATGGCTGAATCTGTTCAGATGCCCTGAAGTCTGGAAAGTCTTCTTCAGAGTTGGGCATCTTTCAAAAATCGATCCGGGAAAATTTCCAGGATACCAGGTCATTTGACAGTTTCCAACAGAGCCTCCCTTCCTCGTCCCAATAAAACACATAGCACTCTGGTCATCTTGACAAATATAAACAGTGTCCTGGGGGCACTGAGTGCCTTGTGCCACCTGAAAAGTATTTCTTCAGGGGTTAGAGTGTTGGAAAATGCAAACCTCCTAAGTAAGAATGAGGTCCCAGTGATGTTGGTAGCTTAGTGGTTTCTTTCCAAACTAACTATGTTAATATTCAACTACTTTAGTTAATGTTCACCTGGGTTAATAAGCAGCTCCTGGGATTTCTACATGAAGAGTGAAGTTACACACTAACCACCATAAGCTTTCATCCTTTCTGTTTTCTCTTTTCCAATACAATTGTTATCAAATCACAAAGATCACAGATTTTTATGTTGATTTACCTTAAACGAACTGTGCACCAATGTTTCATCTAAATCAATGACCACACATTTCTTTCCATAGTCAAGCACCGTCACCTCTGGAAGAAGGTACTTAGCCGGTGGCTAAAGGGGAAAAATAAACCAATATTACCTTTATGTAAAAGACAAACCAATCAGTATTGTATTATACTACTTTCAAACATTTAAATGCCTGGTCAAGCATATAATGGACTTTTATTAAGAACAATAAGAATAAGTACTTTGCAACTGAAGCTTTATCAAATACTGTGCCACGATATGAATGACTACTATGAAGTCCTAGGCTTTGGAACCAGACAAACCTGGTTTCAATTATCAGCTCTGTCACTTTCTTGGTTGTAAATTGGGATAATAATACCTACCATGAAAGGTTTTTGTTATCAGTTATAATGGCAATAAAACACCCAGCATTTTGCCTCACACATATATATATTGGTGGCTACAGTTGTTATTAAAATGGATTACACAAGAATGAGTATTTAATTATAATAGGTACTGTAACAATGGAGGTCTGTTTCGTGGGGTCATATTTTGCCTGTGGCACATAAGTAGATTTTAGAGCTATGTTGGAACCACAGAATTTTTTTTTTTTTTTAGTGACTGAGATTTTTAAAAAACCTGAAGAGAAACTATAGGCCCACCAGCAAAATGTGGTCCAGAGTTACCCCCAGCACTAGGAAACAGAAATAAAACTAATCCAGGTACAGTGCCACCTTGTGCCACCACACTGTGGTATAATACTGAGCAAATGTGGTATTTTTACCCCTTGGATTCTCTGCCTCTGAAAGTTATACTTTAATCCACATGTTATTTGTTGACCAAACAATCTATTTATGTGTCTTAGTAGCAGGTGACTCAAATCTCATGATAAAGAAGTCATAAAGAGTTAATAAAATGCTAGGTATCTTCAGTCAACCATAAAATGCTAGGTATCTTTGGCCAATCTCACTCGATTTAGAGGATTTATTTCTTTAGGCCTTGCCTCATTCTGGAAATGATCTGAAGTATTTTAGTCTACTTTGTGGCATATTCAATATCCAGTGTTAACTAATTAATTTTCTGACCTGCACAGAAGGTCAAATTCTCTTTAATATTTGATACAAAAGAAAATACAAGGAAATATGTATTCTGAGCTCCCAAAGAATGGACAATTTAGTTCATCAAATAAAACAAGAAAAAAATGAAATCAAGCTGTATTTCCTTTTACGTGGCCATTTCCTCTTTTTATTTTTTTTGGTTCAAACTGAAAGTCAGTTAATGATCAAAAGTTAATTTTGAACTTTAGCTGGTTCATAGTAAATGTAACACAGGCAGTCAACAGGTTAGGTAAATTTGCAAGTACAATGGTCACCTTGGCAGAGAGAGACTGTCCAGGGTTGCCCAGGAAGAGGCTACGTGTGGAGACATAAACATTTCTAACTCCATGTTTCTTCCTTCCCAACGTCATCCAAAAGAAAGAGCCTTTCCGGCCTCTCACCTCTCTCAGCTGGAAGCAATCCTCCCTAATCCTGCAGCACTGTGAAGGGATGCGGGGATGTGCCTTGGAGACAGGCACGGAATTCGAGGATCTAGAAAGGACTTTGTCCTCTATTACAAACCAGTGAGTCAGCAGGTTATTTTAAAAAAATTAAATTTGCAAAAAGTTTTGTATCAAAAGGTGTTTTAAAAAGGCAGAGTGTGATGAGCTAAGTGAACATAGTAGAGAGAATGTGAGTCATTTCTGTTGTTTGGGACAGAGCAGAAAGCATGCTTGTGACCAGAATAAAATTTGTTTGAATTTTTATTACACAATTATTTAATACAAAACACATTCTCATTGTAAAGATTATAGACATCAGACAGATAAAACACAATCATTCTCTTTTCTGTGTCTCCCTTTTGACATTAGTGTCTATCTAGTCCTTTTCCTATGTGTTTATAAACTACTAAAACATTATAACTTATTAATTTAATTGTTAGCCTGGAAAATAAGGATCTAGAAATTCTAACCCTAGCATCTCTGAAAACATCAAAGATCTGCCAAAAGTGGTTCATTTTCCAAACTCAAGAACAAAGATTACTTTCTTAGCACAGTTAACCCACACTTTACAAGCATTCTTTAACAGTAAGTAAAACCCCTCATGGTGTTATCTAAGACAGAAAAGTTAACAGTAAGTAAAACCCCTCATGGTAAGATCTAAGAGAGAAAATATGGAGAAGGGTGAGAAGGGTGAGACTCATATTAAGCAAGCTATTGATTTTAATTTGTGCTGTAGGGAACAAGGCCAAGTTGGGAGGCAGCAGGCTAGGAGGTTCCATTAATCCTCTGATGTTTCCTAAATGCACACAGCTTCCCTGAGAGCTTGGCTTTAGATTAATGCAAATTCTTGAGCCCATGGGTAAGAATTCTTTGGGACAGCTGTGTCCTTGGAAATGTAAGGATGCTATAAAATGGCAATACAGTGCTTTGTTACTTCAGTTGATCTGTTCAGGTGATGCTTGAATCATTAACTAAGAAATGTCCTGAACCAAGTTTTCTCTGAGGTTTTCATAAAGCTGAAGAACAAGAGAAATACCAGTCATATCTAGAAAGGTCTTTCTTATACAAAATGACTTGCTCAAATGTACACAAAGAACATTGCTGGGGGGTGGGTGGAGGAGGACCATGGCTTGCCATCCATGGTTTGGGAATGGTATTCATTCCTGTTCCTTTCCTGGGAGTAAATCTGAAATTTCTTGTCCTTGGCAGAGCACTGGCAGTCATGAATAGTTAACACTAAGCTTATTTCCTCTTGGAGTACCCACCCCACAAACTCTCATAAATCTTACAGATGTAGTACCTCTTCCTAGTACATTGGATTATTGTTTCCTTACTTAAGATTTCTCAGACTCAAGGTCTGCACACTGTGTTCCCCAAGCCCTCAGAGCTCCGGGTGGATGTCAGGGCCCAACGCAGGAGGGGAGCAAGAGGATCTCTAGACTGCTTTTAATCAGAATAGCTGTCCTGCTTGTATATTCTTTATAATGCTTTTGTGAAAAGAAGTGTACTATTGCTGTATTAAAAGCCTTAGGCAAATAGCATAGAAACATAGCTGTTAGAAAACAAATCCTCTCCTCTTTCACCATTTTCATGGCTTGGCTTCACAAACTGCAAGCCTCATGTTTGTGAGCATCAGTGTGGTGTGTAATTTAAGCAAAAGTGTGGGGTCGGTAGGACTCAGGACACAGCCTCAGTGGCGTTCCTCACTGGGGTCAAGGCATTTGAGTGCTCACCTCAAGTCATGACCACCCATACATCAGCAGTTTCAAACTTTCGTTCCCTCTGCACCTTTTCCTTATCTTTCAATACCCGATGTTCACCAAACAGCCCATGAAGCTTCCCACTAAGGAAGGCCCTAAATCCTGGCCCATAGTTGGGAGACGAATGATACTAATGGTAAGGATAAAAATGTCATTTCCAATAGGCATGCAAAACATGATTACTCACTAAATGGTGCTGGGACAACTGAGTAGCCACTTGGAAAAAAAGACAGTTTCCTACTTCATGCCTTACACCAACAAACATTCCAAATGGATCAAAGATTTAAAGGTATAATGGTGAAACTATTAAAAACGATTAAAATACTAGAAGAAAATATACAATCAATGAGCATAAAGGATGACATTAATATTTACTTATATAAAATTAAAACTTCCTTGTGGCCAAAATAATTATAAACAAACAAGGCCAAAAGATATATATTTGGGGAAAAGTACTAATTTCCTTAAAATTTAAAATGACAAGCAACACAGCATAAAAAGCTAGAAGAAATGAATAGAGAAGAAGAAAGATAGCCAATGATCTTATGAAAAGCTGTTCAAACTCACTGATAAAGAAATGAGATAGGGTCCGGCTCTGTAGCCCAGGCTGGAGTGCAGTGGCGCCATCTCAGCTCACTGCAACCTCTGCCTACTGGGCTCAAGTGATCCTCCCAAGTTAGGCCCGGGACTACAGGCATGCACTACCATGCCTGGTTAATTTTTTTTTTTTTTTGAGACTGAGTTTTGCTCTTGTTGCCCAGGCTGGAGTGCAATGGTGCGATCTTGCTCACCTGCAACCTCCGCCTCCAGGTTCAAGTGATTCTCCTGCCTCAGCTTCCCGAGTTCCCTGGGATTAAAAGCATGTACCACCACGCCCAGTAATTGTATTTTTTTTTTTTGAGACAGAGTTTTGCTTTTGTTGCCCAGGCTGGAGTGCAATGGCATGATCTCAGCTCACCACAACCTCCCCTCCCGGGTTCAAGCAATTCTCCTGCTTCAGCCTTCCAAGTAGCTGGGATTACAGGCATGTGCCACCACACCCGGCTAATTTTGTATTTTTAGTAGAAACGGGGTTTCTCCAAGTTGGTCAGGCTGGTTTCGAACTCCCGACCTCAGGTGATCCACCCGCCTCAGCCTCCCAAAGTGCTGGGATTACAGGCGTGAGCCACTGTGCCCGGCCTAATTTTGTATTTTCAGTAGAGATGGGGTTTCTCCATATTGGTCAGGCTGGTCTGGAACTCCCAACCTCAGATGATCCACCCGCCTCGGCCTCCCAAAGTGATGGGATTACAGGCGTAAGCCACCGCGCCCAGCCGCCATGCCCAGTTAATTTTGTGTATATTTTATAGAGATGGGGTTTCACCATGTTGCCCAGGCTGGTCGTGAACTCCTGAGCTGAAGCCATCTGCCCACCTCGGTCTCTCCAAGCGCTTGGGTTATAGGCGTGAGCCACTGCTACAGCCACTGCTACCATTCTTTACTTTCAGATTAGCAAAGATTGAAACATTTGATAATCATTTTCAGTAAGGGTATGAGGCAATCTCATAGATACTTCATGGGAATGTAAATTAGCATAGGCTTTTGGACAACAATTTGGCTTTAATGTACCAATACTGTAATATTATATCCTTTGACCTAGCATTTCCACAAATAGAAACTGATCACAAAGAACTATCATACAAGTCCATTAGCACACAGAAAAGAGGATATTTTTAAGAGAAATATTTGTAATAGCACAGAAGTGGAAACAAAGTAAATGCCATCAGTGAAATATAAAACAATGAGGCAGATATATACCTACTAATATTTGGAAAGATGTTCAAGGCATCTTGTTAGAAAGTAACAAGCAATTTGCAGAATGGTGAATACAACACAACTTCATTTATATAACTATGTTTGTGTTTGTCTGGAAAACTTCTGGAAGGATAAATAACATATATTAAAAGTGGTACTACCTAGAAGGCAGTAGGATTACATTGAGAGATATTTTCTTTTTGCTTTAATCTTTCAACTTCATGTATGTATGGTATGTATATATGTATTTCCACAGGTGTTAATCCCAAATCCTTCAATATTTAATAATTAACCATGAGCTTGAATTATTGTTTAGCAAAAAATTAAAAGACCAAACCTACACATACAAACAGAGCAGCATGCGAATGAAAAAAGAGGGGTGAAGTGACAGGCACAGATGGGGACCCCAGCTACAGTTGCTCTGGTCACCACAGGCTTAGAGGATTCTTTACCTTCAGGGCCTGAAGAAAGCTTTCAGGAGGTTGTGGGATCTGGTTTGGAGGTTCAGCACAAGCCCGGATTTCTGGTTCTATGCATGGAACCCTAAGATCTCAGGGCTCCCAGCACTGACCGGGTCCCCCTGAGGTCCAGAAAGGCCAGGACCACGCTGCTTACGTAACCTGCAGCCTTTTCAGGTAGGTGCAAATTTTGCAGGGGCTCCCAAGACTTGGTTCCAGGGCTGAGCTGGCCTCAGATGGACTTGGGATCAGTCCTATATGCTAAGCAGGCAGTGGAAATCACACTGTGCCCACTAGTGGAACTACTTTTCTGGAGGTCATCATTCAAAAATGCAAGTTCCTTTGGCTCGGCTGTTTCTTTGGGCAAGATAGTTCATAGGTTCACATGGCCTGACCCAACACCTCACATGTAGGATACAGTCAGCAGTTTATTATCCATCACCAGGATCCATTACATAAGGAATTTTCTTCTTGTTTCTCTTATTCCAGAATTCTATACATGGCTGAGTCTAGATTTGTGGGAAAAGGGTCCGTTTCTTCAGTGGGGTTTTTATACTGACAAGTGCTTTTGTTCTGCACTTAACTTTGCACATGGCTGCCAATTAGCTTTAAGAAAAAACAGTAATAGTGCCATTGAAGGTGGAAGGAGAGATGCTACCTGCCATCATTTAATGTAGGTACCTTTGCAGGAAAAAAAAAAATATCAAAAACTACTTTGTATAAAGGTTAAAGAGTCTTCTGGTATTAACTCTGCTGGGCATCTCCCTCAAACTCTGGATAAAAAGTTGGGTTGCTAGGTCAATCTTTTTGATCAAAGCCAGTTTTCCCAACAAAGCCCAACCCTCAGGCACATGGGCAGTCAGAATCACTACACAGACTCTTGCAACTCGTTAGTCAATCAAGAGTTAGAGTTTTGAGAAAAATGAAATTACTGTAAACTTTTTGGGCAATTTATAAGTGACATGTACTACCAAAGCCTTTGGAGTCGTCAACCTGTATGCATGAAATCCATCTACTCCTTCTATGTAAGATTGCTGTGTCTATTGGATGTGAAAAACTCCAAGGAAAGAGAGATGAACAGATTTGAATCAAGTAATCTGAATCTGATCATCTTTACAGACTAAAAAATTAATTTATAGACACATTTTGAAACCTAAATCCTTCTCTAAGGACATAAGACTATTTGAAAGGTCTTGTTTGATACAGACATCTCGACTGTAAGTTTCTTTTGGGAGTCAGTCTTCAGTTTACTTCTTGCTGACTGGCCTCAGGCTGGGTGGCTCTGCTGGCAGAACAGGAAGAAGAGAAGGGACAGCGGATGGCTGAGGGGTGGCTGGTGCAGGACTGTGCTGGGGTGGAACAAATTTCAGGGCTGACAACAGAAGTGAAGGTGGCCTCAGGGAGTGCCCAGCTGGGCAGAGTTGCAGCATAGCAGGCCTGTGGGATGGGTCCTGCAAGTCCAGAGAATATAGTTAGGGTGACTTCTCTGATCTCGGAGCTACAGCCATACTACCACTGATAAGTTAGAAACGGTCCGGTCACCTGGGACCTGGGCTTGGTGAGCCCAGTTCCACTGGGACTGAACCTGCTGCAAAGAACTGTGTCTGGGCAAAAGAATGTTCCTGCCAATCTATGGAGTTGAGGCTAAGATGGTGGGGTGTGGGTGAGGGTTCTGAGCAACCTCAGCTTGTTCAGCTTGGAGGTCCTTCCCAGAGAGAAAGGGAAAATGAGAATTGGGTAAATGGATGCTGGCTGCCTTGCTGTTCCTGAGAAAGGAAACTGTCTCTGTAGAGAACTTCCTGCTCACTGTTTAAAATGTAGCTTCAGTTTTCTTTTTAACAGAACAGAGCTGTTTACACCACATGATAAACAACATAAGCAATAACATTTAAAAAATCCTTTATATCAGTAGGCCCAAAGCCACATGATTTTATTACCGTTTTAATAAATAAAATTAGATAAATATACATACACTTGGTATGGGAATGACCTGCCTCTGGTCACCCTGAGGAAAAAGAAAAAAAAATGATTGTCAGGTTTGAAGAGAAGATCATATTCTCAAAAGAAACTTCAAAGCCCTCTTGAGCATAGCAGCTGCATGATCTGCCATTCTCTGTACCTTGGTGGTGTTTAATGAACAGGAGGAATCCGAAAATTTTCCACAGTTAAGGCATGAGGCTCCTTCTGTCTCTCAGACACCCGTTCTGCTAACAAGCCAGGCTGGGCTCCTGAGGCTCACCAACCATTTTGTGTATTTAAATAGTGCCTCCCTTACTCCCAGGAATTCAATCCTTAATTAAAAAACAAAAATAAAAACTCATACTTTACTTTAATCCTTGATTCCTTCTAATAACTGTTTGTTTTTTCTTTTAAGCAAGTTTTTCCCTAAAAAGACTAAGTCAATATCATATGCAGGGAATGGGAGACGTGTTCATCAGATTACAATGACCTCCTGGTCATTCCAGGAGCTCCTCTAGGGGAAGACTAGGGAGAGGGGACAAGGCAAGGTACAAGAAATTCCCTCCCAGGCAACAGACAAGGGGACAGCTTTCTCCTTCAAGGGAAATACAACCTGTATTCACAGGGAGTGTTAAGAAAACCTAGGCCCCAAGGAAAGGCCTCAATTATTCCGCAGCCCCAAATGCCAGCCATTCCAAACCTAATTGATGGAAACACTTCATTATAGCATTGTTAAGAAATGCTAATAAAAAAGTTTATTTCCACTGAGCATTTCCAGTTTCTGTTTCTTCTTTTTTAGATGGCCTAATAAGGCGATGCACTGCTTCATGCCTTGTACACTGAAGAATTTGTGAAAATATGTGTCCATTTTTATTAAGAGGGTTACAGTGATAACGAGGTCTCACATGAAAGGGCCAAACCTGATGGCTGGCAATGGCAGCTGGCTGGCACCTTTCTGAGCTCTGTTTTGACACTAAGAACAATTTAGCAACTTCTTGATTATCTATAACCCCTAGTCATCACCTCTGCAGTATAAGAGCAAGTATCATTTCCTCTTGAGATGATCTCCACAGTTCCTTCCTTTTTCAGATTTTGGGCTTGTCTTAAAGACTGTCAGCTTCCTTCTGACATCACTCAAGGCAGAGCTATGCTGCTCTCCAACAGACAATGCAATCAAATAAATCAAAGTTTTCAAGAACTTGCACAGATAAATTCATTTAAGAAGCTTTTAAATAATATTATTCCTAATACTGGGACTAACAGTAGGTCACTGCTCCTACAGACATACTTGGTGGAGGACATACTTTTAAAAAAACTTTTATTTTAGGTTCAGAGGTACATGTGCAGGTTTGTTATATAGGTAAATTGCATGTCATTTACCTTTGGGGTAAATGGGGGTTTACTGCACAGATTATTTCGTCACCCAGGTAATATGCATTGTACCCAAGAGATAGTCTTTTCATCCTCACCCTCCTCCTAAGCTCCACCCTCAAGTAGGCCCCAGTGTCTGTTGTTCCCTTTGTTGTCCATGAGTATTCAGTGTTTAGCTCCCACTCATGAGTCAGAATGTGCGGTATTTGGTTTTCTGTTCCTGCATTAGTTTGCTTAGATTAATGGCCTCCAGCTCCATCCATGTTGCTGCAAATTACATGACTTCTTCTGTTTTCACGGCTGCATAGTATTTGGTGGAGGAGATTTTAATCAGAAGTTCACATCCTATTTGGGTCTCCTTATTTTTATTTTATTTTACTTTACAGACGGGGTCTTGCTCTGTCACCCAGGTTGGAGTGCAGTGGTGTGATCATGGCTCACTGTGGCCTCAAACTCCTGGCTTAAGACATCCTCCTGCCTCAGCCTCCTGAGTACCTGGGACTATAGGTGTGTGCTGCCATACCCAGCTGGGCCACTTCAGAGTAGGGTTTCTCAACCTCAGCACTGGTGACATTCTGGGCTGGGTAACTCTGTTGTGAGGGATGTCCTATTTGTTGCAGGATGTTTAACAGCATCCTTGGCCTCTGCTCACTAGATGTCAGCAGATGCTCTCTCCCCCTCTAGTGACAATCTGTCTTCAGACATTGCCACATGTTCCCTGGAGGGCAAATTATCCCAAGTTGAGAAGCTCTGCTCTAGTAGGAGAGTGCAGACATCCCCTGCACACAGGTGCACCTTCAGAACACACTTTTGATGAGATGAGCACGTCCATGATGCAAGAGATCACAACAATGCATCTGAAAGGCCTGACAAAATGTCCACTATGAGCAAGCAAAAGTGCTGATCTAGAAGGATATTTGGGCTTGAAAATTACCCTAGAAGCTTACACGTATGTATGTCTGTGTATACAGCATGAGGTATGCATGTATTTGTGAGTGTCCAACAATCCGTTTTATGCTGTCTTTGCCCTTAGAAGTCCTCCATGGTCTTTGCCATTGGGGTTCTGACTCCTCCCAGCCTCTGGAGGCTTCTGGTCTGTAGGTCCAGGTTGTGGCTGTGATGGTGGCAATGGCTGCTACCCCAAGCTGCTGCAGCAGAAGCAGCTGGAAACTCAAAGGCTCCAAATCCTCATTTCTCCAGGGCAAAAGTAAATATACAGGTAGACAGAACCCTAGAGGTCATCTGTCCCATTCTGTCCACAGCCTTCCCTCTTCCTCTGGCATGCTGAATTCCGAGAGGCACAGATACTTAAGGAATCAGCAGTAGAAACGGGCCTGGAATCTGCTTCCACATCTAATAGGCCCGGGCTTTGTGTTCCGAATGTCCTGAGCAAGCTAGGGTCAAGAGGCAGAGGGTCCTCCTCTGGGAATTCACTGCCCCACTCTGACAGGGCTCTTTCTCTGGTGTCTGGTCTCCCGGATTGACTAGTCAAGTGTTATGGAAATAACATATCACCCCACTTTGGATTAACTAAATTAACTCAAAGTTAACATAATTCTTTAAAAAGCCATCTTGACAAATGTTAATAGAAGGAAGTTCATGAATGAACAGTAAGTCCAAGTGAGCTCAGCTCTGCTGGAGGAAATGCCTTTAAAGGCTTCTATTTCCTGATAGATACAGCTGAGTACCCCAGGAAAGCTTCCAAGGCTGCCATGCCATTTCCTCATATCATTTCATCTACAAAGATACCAAGCTGTCTTCCTTATTTTCTTTCTAAAAATTTCTCGGTTCTTCTTTGACCTTTTTTGTCCCAGAAGAACTTAAGCCTTTCTATCCAGAAAGAGCACACACATTTCTCATAAACATGAGAAATCAAAATCTTTTATGATTTGAATCAACTTTGGAGGAGTCTTTTGGGTTTTCTATGTAAACAATCATGTCATCTGCAAATAAGACTAACTTTGTATCTTTTCCATGTTTATACCAATTGTCTCATTTTCTTGGCTTATTCCATTAGCCAGAACCTACCATTGATTTTTCTGTGTTGTTTGCTGTTTATTTTTTGAAGATAGCTTTTTATCATGTATAGTTTTCTTCTTTGGTGGCACTGTTGATTTTATATACAAAGGTTTATGGGCTACTATACGGTTCATGTATTAGACTATTTGCCATAAAGTGCCCCTATTTATCCTGTTTAATGCTTTTGAATTTGAATTCTGCTTTATCTGATATTAACATTGTCACTCTTGCTTTCTGTTTGATCTGCTTTGTATATTTTGCCCATTTCTTTATTTTCCACCTTTCTTTATCTGTATGTTAGATGTTATGTCAGAAACTGTCACCTACTGCAATTGTCATTAGCACTGTCCACCAAATAATTCCAGTTTTCTTTCTGAATATGTGGGAGGATTACACTTCCATTCCCCTTGAACTTAATGCAGTCATGTGACTTACTTTAGCCAATAAAATGTCAGCTGAAATGAGGCATGTTTTTCTGAGTTTTCTGAGTGAAAACTTTCAGAGCCAATGTGATTTATCACATTTCCTTTGTCCTGCTGTGATAGTCATGGAAGCAAAGAGATGGGGTATAGGCATGTGAATGAGGATAAGATGGTTATACTGTCCAGTATGGTAGCTACTAGTCACATGTGGCCACTGAGCACACAAAATGTGGCTGGTCCAAATTAAGATGTGCTGTAAGTGTAAAATACACATCAGATTTTGAAGGATTAGTAAGATAAAAAGAATATAAATTGTCTCACTAATATTTTTTTCTATTGATTACATATCGAGATAATATTTTGGATATAGTGATTAAATAACATGTTATTAAAATTAATTTCACTTGTTTTAAAAATATTTTCATTAATGTGGCTACTGGAAAAAATTAAATTATACATGTGACTTATATTACATTTCTGTTGGATAGTGCCACAGAACAAAAGGCTCAGCCTCAGCCAACCCATTATAAACAAGTAGCATGAGTGAAAAATAGACTTTTATTGTTTAAGCCTCTGAGGTTTTGAGGTTGTTACTGAAGCATAAACGAACCCATACTGACTAGTGTATCTACTCATGAGTCATTCCTCCCTTCTCCTGATTTTGTTGAGAGCAAGAATACGCTGGGCTAAATTCCTCCCCTTTTGCTATTGGATAGCCATGTGACAAATGGCTACACCCAATTGGTTTGACTAATTCAACTGTACACTGTTTCCAAGAACATATCTGCCATCAGATAGAAATGATTTTGGCAGTAAGTCAAAGAAATCTGCCAGGCACTGTGTCAGGCCAATAAGACATAAGCAGAAGTCTCCTGGGATTTTCTGTGAAAGCATTTACTTTTCATAAAAGGGACAGACATGGCCAGTGCCACCCCTCCCTATCTTTTTCCTTTAAATGTGGATAGGATATCTAAAACTTGTGACTTTGAGATCATACATAGCAAGCATGAGGATGAAGGCAAACACACCAAGGATAGGGGAGCAGAAAGACAGAAAAACATGTTCTTGATGGCATCATCAGAAACATAAACCCCAGTAACTACCTGACCCAGGCTTTTTGTGTGAGAAAAATAATCCCCTAATTGTCTAAGCTATTATTTGTCAGCTTTCTTCCTTTTCTTTTCTTTCTTTCACACTTTCTCTCTCTCTCTCTCTCCTTTCATTCCTTCTCTCTTTTTTTCTTTCTTTCAAGACAGGATGTTGCTCTGGCACCCAGGCTGGAGGACAGTGGAGCGATTAAGGCTCACTGCAGCCTCAACCTCCAGGCCTCAAGTGATCCTCCTGCCTCGGCTTCCCAAAGTGCAGGTATTATAGGCGTTAGCCACCATGCCCAGCAGTTTTCTTTTACTTACTGACAAAATCATTCCTATTTGATGACAGGCATATTCTTGGAAATATCATACAGCTGAATTTGTCAAACCAATCTGATGTCGTCTTGGTCTTTGTTAGAAGAATCTGGTTCATCAAACTAGGTTTTATGCCTATTCTTTATGTTATGTTTGCTATTTATTATTTGTTCTTTTTCCCTTTCCTTAATTTTGATGGCTTGCTCAATTTCTTTATTTCTCCTTTACTCCCTCTGTGAATTTTAAAGATCTATTTTCTAATTGTGCCACTTGTTACAGTTCTATTATTAGTTCTATTCCTAAAAATCATGTTTGTTTCTACATTGGGGGTTTTTTGAGACAGGGTCTTGCTGTCACCCAGGCTGGAGGGCAGTGGTGCGATCATGGCTCACTGCAGCCTCGACCTCCTGGGTGCAAGCAATCCTCCCACTTCAGGCTCCAGAGTAGCTGGGACTACAAGTGCACACTTCCACATCTAGCTAATTATTTATTATTTGTTTTGTAGAGATGGGGGTTTCCCTATGTTGCCCAGGCTGGTCTCAAACTTCTGGGCTGAAGTGATCCTTTTGCCTTAGCCTCCCAAACTGCTGGGATTATAGGAATGAGCCACTGCACCCAGCTTAATTCTAACCTTTTTTTTGAGACTGAGTCTCGCTCTGTCACCCAGGCTGCAGTGCGGTGGCGCAATCTTGGCTCACTGCAAGCTCTGCCTCCTGTGTTCACGCCATTTTCCTGCCTTAGCCTCCCGAGTAGCTGGGACTACAGGCACCCGCCACCAGGCCAGGCTAATTTTTTGTATTTTTTAGTAGAGATGGGGTTTCACTGTGTTAGCCAGGATGGTCTCGATCTCCCGACCTCGTGATCCGCCCACCTTGGCCTCCCAAAGTGCTGGGATTATGGGAATGAGCCACTGCATCCAGCCTATTTCTAACATTTTTAACAATTATATCATAACTGAGTATCAATCTCACCCACATTTTTATGTTTTGTTCCCTCTCTGAATCATTACATATCTAAGAAACTTTTGTCTCAACAGATAAATGATATCTTGGTCACATACAGAATTTTTGGTTTCCATTTTTTTCCCTCAGTAGCCTATAAATATTTTTTCATAGTCTTCTGGCTTTTAGTGTTGCTGATGAGAAGTCTGATACTAATATAATTGTTTTCCTTGAAAATAACTTATTCTAGTATCTTGTAAGACTTTCCCTTTGTCCTTAAACTTCAAAATTTCTACAGATACACCTAGGCATGCGCTCCTCTAACTAATCCTGCTGTCGACTTGGTAAGCTCCTTCAATCCACAGATTCAAGCTTTGTCTTTAGCTCAATAAATTTTTCTTCTACTACTTTTTCTCTTTCTGGAACTCTTAACATTTGCATGTTCCATCTCCTAGATGCCTGCTGTCCCCTCTCACAATTACCATCTCTGTGTTTCTGGTCTGAATTGTACGATATTTCTTCTTCCACTTGCTTTTCCAGAACATGAATTCAGTTCCCACCAGTGACCATTCTCCTTCTGTTTGTTTACTGAATTTTTATATTTAGAAATCATGAGTTTTTAAATTCCAAATGTTACTTTTGTACTCATAATTCATTTCCTGAGTTGTCCGTTAAAGTTCTCTTCCATCTCTTCCATTAGTTTTACCGCAGTGGGAGTCTCATTACAGTTTTTTCAACTTGGACTTTCTCAGTGGAGGCTGCATTTTTCTTTGCTTGCACCAGGTTGTGGGTTCCCTTAGTGTCTGTGCAGGTCAGTCTATGAGGCTCTCTGGGAAGTGGCAAATGAGTGAGTACTGCAAGGCCCAGCAAGGAATGCTGTTTTCATGGCCCAGCAGAGCCCATGTTAACAAACCTCAGAGATGAAGAAAGCCGCTACACTACTGGCTCCTCCAAGGCACAAGCACTGGAAGCAATCCAGCTCACCAGGGCAGCCCCTCAAAGGACCACACACATTGTGTGGGCAGTACGAGCCCTTTCCAAGGCGATCCGCCAGCTCCTTCTGGCTAGTGGACCTCATGGGACTACACATTCGAGTGTTTGTCCAAGGACTCAGGGAGATGTAAGCATTTTCCTCTGTTGGTGGTTCCCTGCTTCTTACTGAGTAAGAGAGAGAATAAATCCTGTGCCTGCTCTCTACCCTGAAGGTGTCAGGAAAACTGGGGGCCTTAAGGCACTTTCCAGGCTCCACCAGCAGGCCCACCTGGGTTTATCCTGGGAGGGAATTTTAACAGTCAGAGCCATGTGCTCAGGCTGTCATCTTCCCAGAATTCCCTTCTATACATCCATATGTGGTTTTAAAATAATTTTTTAAATCATAAAAGTAATTTAAGCTGATTTTCTGAAAACTGAGGAAAGTATAGAGGGAAGGAGAAAATCCTAGCTATAATTCCACCAGTGTGAGCAATAGGAGATAACCTTCATATTTCAGCATACGTCCTTCTAGTCTTATAAATGCTTGTGTGTGTATGTGTGTGAGAGAACAAGAGAGACACTCTATCCATTTCTTTATATCAGCAATGTTTACGACATATCATTTTGAAGGGCTGTATGCTATTTGATTGCACAGTTAATTCTATAGTTTTTTTTTTTAAACCAACTGCCTATTGTTGAACATCAGGTTGCTTATAATTTTTCGGCATTATAATCTATGCTGGGTGGGACCTCATGGTTAAATCTTTGCACATTCATAATTATGTCCATAAAGGGTAACTGCCTGCATCAACAAATAGGGATATTTTTAAGGCTTTAAGATCATATTGGCAAATTTTCCTCCAGAAAGGTGTCATCAAGTAACATTGTTACCAGCAACTTATTTACATTCTCTATCCTCCCTCCTACCACTCCATGCTAAAACCAAATATTGTGTTTAAAAATATCTTTGATAAGTTGAAAGCTGGAAAACGGTATCTCATTATTTAGTTTGCGTTTCTTCGATTACTAAACATGTTAAATATTTTTCATGTATTTATATGTGCAACATTCTTATTTTTTCATGTTTGACCATATGAAAACCTTCAGCCTAATTCCTATGCTTCTACACTCCAAGCCTGTGAGACAAATCAGGCAACAGCAGTGTTCTCAGTCTTGCAGAAGCAATGTGGCTACTGTTACAGCCCACAGTCACTCCTGGTCTATGATATCAACAAGACTGAACCATCTGTATTTCTTATTTTGTGAATTACCTGTTTGTGTCCTTTGCTCATGTTATTTGGAATATAAAGCTTTATGACTTTTGTGTCCTCAAATGTCAACTATCTTCATGATGAATAATCTTCTTTCGGTGATTTTTCCCTGAAATTCCGTTTTGACTGAGATTAATATTATAACCCTTATTTTCCTTAATTTATACTTGTATGAGGTCTCTTTGCTCATCCTTATTCCTTATACTTTTTTTTTTTTTTTGGAATGGAGTTTCACTCTTGTCACTCAGCTGGAGTACAGTGGCGTGATCTTGGCTCACTGCAATCTCCGTCTCCCAGGTTCAAGCGATTCTCTAGCCTCAGCCTCCCGAGTAGCTGGGATTACAGGTGCCCACCACCAGGCCCAGCTAAGTTTTGTATTTTTACTAGAGAAGGGGTTTCGCCATGTTGGTCAAACTCCTGACCTCAGGTGATCTGCCTGCCTTGGCCTCCCAAAGTGCTGGGATTATAGGCATGAGCCACCATACCTGGCCGCATCCTTATACTTTTAACTGTTCTGAGTAACTTTGTTTCAGATGCGTTTGTTAGACAGCATGTTGGTAGATTTTGGTTTTTGACCTATTGTGACAATATGACATATTTTATTTGATACATACAAAAGAATATATAACATGCTTATTATTAAACAAGGTAGTTAAACTCAATTATTTTATTGTTAGCTCTTCTCTATGTCTGTTTCTCTTTTCATCTGTTTGTGAGTCTGCTACTGGTTGTTTAACTGTTTAATGCATTCAACTTCCCAAGAGAGAATGTTATAAAAATGTGAAGTGACTCCCGTAACTCCCATCAAATATGATCTTTAGTTGCTGAATGAGATATCCTTTATCAAAAAAGGTTACTTTTCTTGGTAATTTCAAATCTTTAAGTAAATGGCTGTACACATACTATCACATATCCTTTTCTTTTTGTTTTTTGTTTTTGAGACATAGTTTTGCTCTTGTTGCCTAGGCTACAGTGCAATGGCACTGCAACCTCCGCCTCCCAGGTTGAAGCGCTTCTCCTGCCTCAGCCTCCCTAGCAACTGGGATTACAGGCGCCTGCCACCACGCCCAGCTAATTTTTTATATTTTTAGTAGAGATGAAGTTTCACTATGTTGGCCAGGCTGGTCTCGAACTCCTGACCTCAGGCAATCTACCTGTCTCAGCCTCCCAAAGTGCTGAGATTACAGGCGTGAGCCATCGCGCCCGGCTCTGCATATTCTTATTAAGGATATTCATCAAGGATGGGACAGATATGCCGCTGCTGCAGTTTTATGGAGTGCACAGTTCCTCGCCAGTACTGACCTTCTGAAGTCCACCATTCTCCTCCACCAGTGGCGGAAGCACACTGGGGCTGTTGGGTGGAGGGGCCTCCACATTGTAATCACGGAAGCAGCAGAAGAAGGAGCTAAGGATGCTGCGGCTCCTCTGCTTCTTTAAGCTGACGTTGCACTGGGAAGCTGGAAACAAAAACAGAGCACACTGTGGCCAACTGCAGCATGTACTGATAGTTGTAATATAAGGCAAAAATCTGAGTATGCAGTTGCCCCCCAGACCCCAGATTCCTGCCCTGAGGGCCTGCTCAGGAGGAGAAGATGAGGGGCTCCTGGAAATTACTCTAAAGAACTGTGAATCCAATGTGAGAATCCCAGGAGCCAGCTAGTCGATGGAGTCCAATCCCTCTGGTTGGACAGGATCCCTTTGACCTCAGCCCAGCAGGGGCTGCTTGCTTATTAACTGACTCACCCTCAGGGTCAGTCCCCATCTGCATTCCTGAACCCAGCAGATGAAGTATTCCCACCCTGCACCAAGCACTACTTCAAAATAAACATCTTTTCAGGCACAAATCAGACTTGACACTCCCTGGGAAGCATCTCTCCATTATGGATACCAATAAAAAATCACTTTGAATCTAGGTTCTTGGACATCCCCTGCTCACTATGGAAATGACTTAACTTTGTGGGTTAAGAAATAAGATATGTAAAGGCACAAAAGAACCTCCTGCTTAAACTTGCCAAGAGTTTGTCCAGAAGTTGGTGAGGGCCTGGATCCACAGAGCTTAGGGCTGAAGGCTTCCATTTCACTTAAAAAACATAAACAGCAGGAGATGTTGGATGGAGAACACATGTTCCTGCCCCAGTAGGGCTGGCCAGGGCAAAGCCCATCTTCATGAGATCCAGGGCAATACTGTGCCCTAGCCTGTCCTGAACTAAGACACTGGAGGGAGTGACACATCCTTTCTGTTTATCCAAGGCTCACAACAAGCTGCCACAAGTCAGGAATAAAAGGTGAAAATTAGTATAGATGAAAAACACCCCTCAGGGGAGGGCTCACAACTTCGAGGGGCAGGAGTATTTGCCTGGGAATGCAGCCGGGACTGTCCCACCACATGCCATGCCTAGGCGGGTCAGTGGTGCTCTGAGAAGAGGCCGCAGGCAAGGGACCATGCTTAGGGTTAATGGGAAAATTGCCAGTGCAGGAAATGATTTAAGTCCACATGATAACTGTTGGAGCTTATCTCTTCTCCCAAAGAGCAATTCTGGCACAATTCCTCTTTTTGTGCACTTAGGAGTGATTTGTGTAACACCTTTCCTCCCAAGATATCACAAAACCTTTGCTGAATGTTTTGGGGGTACTCTTCTGCCAGCAGCAAAACTAAGTGCATTCAGATGGAAATTCTGAAAAGGGACTGAAAAGCTATTCTTCCAGCAACTCCACAGATATGAATGGTTTCTACCCTGGGTTTGGGCAAATGGCCCAGTGAGTATGAATTTAAGATCAGCACTTACTAAAGATGAACTTCAGAACCATAAATCTCTGAGAATGCTGGCTGTTTTTATCTTCCTCAAGCATCCTTGGGTGCATGCATAGAGCACCAGCCATCACATTTCAGGCATCTCATTTCAAGGGCAGGTCAGGCCAGACCAGGCCATTGGGACTGCCAGGCATGTGGGCCTCCTAAGTGGTAGTGTGGGAAGAGATAATAACCACTGTTCACCAAGGGCCAACGCTGTAGGTCCCAATAGTTCACAAACCTCATCTTGCATACTCCTAAGGAGATAGGTGTTACTGCTTCCATCTTACCGCTGAGAATATACAACTATTGAGAAAATACAGCAGGATTGCGTCGGTTCCTTTGCCAGATTCAAACCCAAGTGGGCCTGTTTCCAAACTGTGTGATTTCCCCATGTGCCATGCTGAATACAATCTTGAAACAATTTAGGTTAGATTAAGAAGGTGGAACACGCCAAATAGGGAGAGAAAAGCATTGCAATAAACTTGTATTTAATATAAATGATATGTTAAACCATTTCATTGTTACTCTGAATGTCTTAATTTTTATCCCACACTCAGAAAATTTAGTCAGGGGAAGAAAAAAAATCTTTTCCCTAGCTGATAGCACATTCCTCTGCAAGTAAACAAGCTATCTGTTCATGTCTCAGAGACACTGAGCAGTCTGCAGAAAGCACCTTTCCAGGTCCTATTTTCATCCTTGGATGACATGAATCTTCCCCATGACTAACTAGCCAACTAATTAACAAATTAACTTACATACTAAAAAAATTATAAACCTGGAACCAGTACACTACTCATAATTTCTACCACACGCTTACTTACTCTAGAGAAGGTACACACAGCTAACAGAGTCAGTAAATTAGTTATCTGAGCACCTGGGAGGCCATCGTGCCTCCAGACAGGGAGAGGGAGCTTACCCAGGTCTTTCCTTCTCTGTATAAAGAGTGCAACAGTCAAAGTGGTCTCATTTTCATAGGTGTGGGAGGTTCCAGGATTCTTCCTTTCAAATAAGGTTAGTTCTAGGGCCTGCAGGAACCTCTTGGAGGCTCAGTGGCTAATTTTCTAATCACTCTTGGATTGGTCTAGAACTCTCAAAATCAGGAGAGGTGGGAAGGGTAAATGGAAGGATTTCCTCAGGACCAGCACTGGCCTCACCGACCCTCAGCATTCACTTCTTCCTGAATAGGGCTCCAGACATGGGTGCTCTGTACTAATGACCCTACTGCCTTCCAGCCCCAGTTGCTGCTTCTCTCCCCCAGCTATCATCCAGAAGATCCTTGACTTGCTCATAAACTGGTAAGGGAGTTTTGGTTGACACATGAAATAAAAATTCAGTTTAATGGATAAATGTTGACGTTAGAACATTAGATGAAAAAGTTAATATATATTATTGTATATCTGATTTGATCATAACTAAGCAAAGCAAACTAAAAAAGATTATAATTAAGAAAAGATTTGCAAGAAATATGTCAAAAAGTTAACAGTAATTAATTGTTGGACCATAAGTGTTTACATTTCTTCCACATTTTCCAAATGTTTTCTGGTAATTATGTATTGCTCTAATAATGGTGGGGAGGAAGTAAACAGTCTTGTTAAACTGTCTTTCGGCAACTTTGTGCTATTTCTAAACCATATCCTTCTTCTAATTCTCAACCTTTAACCTAATTCCTATGCTTCTACACTCCAAGCCTGTGAGACAAACCAGGCAACAGCAGTGTTCTCAGCCTTGCAGAAGCAATGTGGCTACTGCCACGGCCCACAGCCACTCCTGGTCTATGATATCAACAAGACTGAATATATCCACTAAACTCAAAACCAGAGGAGGCCCATGTGAAAAGAAGGTACCAAAGAAGTGTCCTTTGCCCGGTAGAACGCTCCTGCTGGCTTTCTCATCTGGCATCCATGCTCCACCGCTCACCCTCCTTGTACACACAAAAGGGGTCTTGCTGTTTCTCTGCTTTGATCAAGACTTTACCTCTCATCACCTTTCCTCCCTTGCCCCCTTTACATGTTTCCACTGACAAGACACATGAGAGGTCTCCTGGTGGCCCAGGTATCCAAGAACAAGGTCTTTTAGGATATTAAAGATAGTTGAATGCATACATCTCCCCATAACATTGGTTTTAAGAAATTACTTTGGAAGAGCAACGGAGGGAGTAGCAACTATGAACATCAGTTTAAAATATTCCATAACGATTTTCATTTTTAAAAATCAGACTTAGGAGGAGGAAGTCATCAAAAGTCATTCCAAAGCTTTCTGTCACTTTTCCCTGATAACCTCCCCTATCCAAACCCAGCACCTGCCCACCTTACTCCCTAGCTTCCTCCATGGTAGACTCCTCATCACACTGACATCCCTTCTCCCACTCCTCCTCCCCCCATTTCCCCACTTCTCAGAGCATCCTGCTTTTCAGAGCCTGGCTCAAAGCCAACCTCACCCAGGAAGCCTTTGCCAACCTCCCTGTGGAGATCGTTTCTTTCTTTGGCCACTAAACTCCCAAATGAATGTATGTATGACTGAGCTGTGTCTTTGGGCCAGGCCAGTTCATCCACCTGTCTGCTGGACATCTCCTCTGGATGCCTCAGACTTGGCATATCTAAATGGGGCTCACCACTCCCCTCTTCACTCAGGGTACCAATATCCTAAGCTAGACATCTGCCCTTCTCCCTCAATAAGTTGTTGGTTCTGACATCCTAATCGATTCTTAAATGTGTCCTTAGCAACTCCTTGTCCCTGCCCTATCCTGACTCAGGTCCTCATCATTTTGTCCCTGGACCACTACGGTTGCTTTTTGACTTGTCTTTCTGCTGTTGATTTTGCATCCCAACATGTCTTGACATGACAGGTAAAGCCCATCAAGTTACAAGAATGTGTGGTGGTTAGGAGTGTAGGTTCCGATGCCAATTTGCCTAGGTGCGAAATCTGGCTCAACCAGCAATAGCACAGGACCTGGGCAAGTTGTGTGATTTCTTTGTGCCTCAGTTTATCTATAAAATGAGGATAATAAATACTCATCTTATGGGTCTGTTGTGAGAATTAAATGAGTTATTACAACAGTGTCTAACATAGAGCAAGCACTCCCTAATTTTTGTTTGTTTTTTAAAGACAGGGTCTCACTCTGTCACCCAGTCTGGAGTACAGCGGTGCAATCTTGGCTCACTGCAACCTCTACCACCAGGGCTCAAGACATCCTCCCACCTCAGTCTCCTAAGAAGCTGGGACTACAGGCATGCGCCACTATACCCAGCCAATTTTTCTATTTTTAGTAGAGACAGGGTCTTGTCATGCTGCTCAGGCAGGTCTTGAACTCCTGAGCTCAAGTGATCTGCTTGCCTTGGCCTCCCAAAGTGCTGGAATTACAGTTGTGAGCCACCACACCCGGCCTAGACATTTTAGCTTTTCTTATTATAGTCTCGTAGAAGCTTTTGCTTCATAAATGAGGGGGGTTCTCCAGGAACACTGGATCAAAGGCTGGATTCTGCGGGCATACATTTTTTTCTCTGATATCTGATAACTAGGAGAAACAACTCACTATAACAGATCTTGGTTACATAAACCGTAATTCAGAAAGCAAAACTAGAAAAATCTCAGGAAGTGATTCTAATCAATTGCTCTAAAAAGTAGACATAGACATGGGGAAGGAAAAGGGAGGGGTTGCATGTC